TGCCTCATTTACTCCAGCAGTTGCTCCAAGTTAATGCTGTATACACTGCGTCTCAACCGTATGTGACACTTTACAGACAGAGAAAAGAGGTCAGCTTCCCAACTCAGACCTCTCACAATTTAAGGCCACAGCCCTACACATGCTTATGCATGTGAATAATTATGTTATAGTGAATAATCTCCTTACTGACAACAGAATTATTCAGAAGAATAATGTTACTCATAGGCAAAAGCACATGAACTGACTGGATCATAAATTTAACAGGAAAGTGTGAACAGCAGATAACAGATGGCTGCATTTGGGATGGTAGAAGGAACAGAAAACCAAGCAAAAAGAAAAATACATCACAGGAAACAAATATTTCTGGCCCTCACTATCTGAATTCAGTAGTTCTAAAGAGCTGTCAAATTATTTTAAATGATTGTTCACCCAGAAACAGCTAATCAGCCATATAAACAAGTAAATGATTTGACTTCTGAAAGTTATGCTAACATAGAAAAAAGATGTTATTCCAAGATTTCACAGAAAACAGGCCTCAAGATGGTACAACGTGCACATCAGACACTTGATAAATACAACTGAGTACTTTTCTGATGTGTCCTCCTTGCTGCTTAAAATTTTACCTAAACATTTACACAATCACAATGCAGTGCCCAGCACACAAGCATTTGTAGAAGCTACTGTTCATTCTTTTAACATCTTCCCAATTTCAAATTTATCTACAGCAGTCAATCAGCTCCAGATGCTATAGGCACCACCATACAATAAAGTAATATAATTTAAAGAATGATTCATTGGTTTGTATCAGGTTCTTCCAGTTACCCCTTTCCAGAGAAAGTAGGGGAGATTTACATGGGACATTCTTTATTTAGAGATCTATAATTAATGACAGCCTAAGTTAAGTATACAGTTTTCTCCTTCTAAATGAAAGAACAGACCTGTTTAAGCATTACTCCATGATTTCAGATGCAAGGTAGCTAATCCTTAATTAGACAAATCAATCTCTTCGTTGTTTGAGAAAACAACTGTTTAGAGTAACAACTGCATGTGACAAATCCATACACAGTTATTAACTTGTCATCCTGTTTTAAGATACTTAATCTGAATTTATACCATTGGTTAAGGGGAAAAAAAAAAATTAAGTATTTCATTTAACTCCATAGTCTTATACTTGCATCCAAAACAAGTGCATTATTCCAACAGCATGCAGCAGCTCTCTGCATCTTAGGCTTCTGCAGTCAGGAGAGCAATGCTCTGCAGCAGTATGTCCAGGCTTGGGGCCGGGGGCATTATGGCAATTCCCCCTCACGCAGCGTAACAGAGGTTTGGCATCTGCACCATCCTTCCCCACTAACAGGGTCTCGAGTGTTTATCCACTGTTGTCACATAGCAGTGGGAAAGGCTACATCCAGTGACTTTGTTGCTTGTTGTTGATGAGATGAAAACACGACTGCTCAGAAACAGTAAATGACAGGTATTTCAAGAACTAATTCAGTTGTTGTTTATTTCAGTTATTCCTATTGGATCTTTTTTGGGGAAAAAAAAACTTTCTCTTTTTTCCGTTGTGTTTTTTTTTTTTTTTTTTCTAATGGTTAACATGAGCTTGCAATCTTGCAACAATGTCTCCATCTTCTCCTGTGTCATTTTCTTTCCTCATAGTAACTTATTTGAGCATGCTGTTAGAAGCTGTTCCATTTCAGACCAAAAAGAAACAGATCCGAGCTGCACTTGGCAGTATTTAATGTCGTTATTATTTAACATTATTTAACATTAGTATTTAACATATCAGGACTCCGTTACGCAGAGTCACTTTGCAGCACGCTACTAAGCCACAACAAGCTCAGTTGAGTTCAGTAGTAAGTGCTCAGTGTAGGAAACATTCCCTCATCACTGGCTTGTTGCAATTACAGCACTTTTGGGGAGTAACCCGCGTGGGGGTCCCTCCCCAGGACCCTGCTGAGGTCCCACACCTGCTGCTCCCCCTAGGCCCCCCCAAGGCGAGAGAACCCCCCAGCACCCAGGCAGCCGGGTTGCAAACCGACAGCACTGGAGGCTGCCCCGTCCCGCATCCAAGCACAGCCACGCTGGAAGAACCCAACACGTTCATTTGTACCTCCCTGCTCCCCCAAAACAGCCTGCACAGTAGGAGTAGTGCTGCCAAGCCCACATCTCTTCTTGATTCCAGGTACAAGCCAGAAGACCCTACCATTTGTCATCTGGCTACTGCTCCCAGAGCATAGAGAGCTTCCACTGAGGGACTTGCAAGTTAGAGACAGGAGGCAGAAAAGAATGGAACACAAATTGCACAGTAAGTGCAACTCATATTTTGCCTAGCACGTGGCTGTCAAACTGAAAATTGCATCCCTCATCTTGCACATGCATCTGCCGTTGCCTAAATATTAGATTACTTCAGGAAAACCCTTTGTAATTTATTAAAGGGAACAGCCACGCAACTCGCTGCCTTCAATTCTCTGTGTGGTTCCACGAAGCACGATTCAGTGCTTCTTTCAGGAAGGCACACTGCCAACATATTGCCAATAAAGTAGTAGCACACTACACTTGTGCTATCTTAAAATACACAGCAGAATGTGCCAAGTTTCCTTATTTGGCAAAACAGCCCATTTGCTTTCAGGATCTTTGACCATCCATTTTTAGATCCAAATTATCCTTTGTATCCAACATGGCCTACAGTCCTTGAACATATCAACCTGGATTTTTGCAGCAGCGTATTTATTTAGCCTTTTTTTTTTTAAAAAAAAAAAAAAAAAAAACACAACAAAAAAAACAGCCCTCAAATGCCAAAACATGGTTAACCACTGTCTTGTCTAAACAAAAAACAGAAAAGGAGTTACAGTGATATCAAGTTGCAAGAGATACTGCAGAAAGAAGTTTTTATAACTAAAAGATCCTTTACCAACATCATGAACTGCTGATTGATAACATGCAAACAAACTCCAAGCACAACTCCAAATTAAATATATCCTAATCTTCTAATCTCCCAATGAGTTAAAATAAAGTCAACAACCCCTACAATTCCTAAACTTTCTTAATCAGACTGAGCAGCAGCCCTGCAGACCGTGAGACTGGAGGCATGGCCCTGCCTACCTTAGTTACAGAAGCAACAGCATTTGAGTCTGTCCTTTGTCAGAACCTAAGAATTCTCCATAACTTCCGTTTGCAACATTTCTCATTTTATTTGAATTTATATAGCCATCAGTGCTACAGAAAAAGAGCTCAACTCGGCCTAAACAGTTTAAGTACTTCAGGAAAAGAACTATTTTTGACCCGAGCTGTGTCAATGGCAGAGACTGATGAGTTTAAAGGCTTCACTTTAAATAGAAAACATTTTATTTCAGAGAAACCCTAAACTGCTCACTTCACTTACAGTATACCTCGTCAGTGATGTCTGCCAGGAGCATGAACGCAACAACACGCAAGAAAAACAAGACAACTAAACCTGCACCCTGACCCGTAGAGCCACTCGGTCCCTGCTCAGGCACCACTGCAGGACCTGGGCCTTGGTTTTGTCACCGTTTCTGCCTTCTCGTCAGCGAGCTGGGCTCTCCAGGGTTACCATTATTCACACAATTCCACCAGTATGCAAAGCACATTACTGATAGATAAAACAAGTAGGCTTCCGAGGACTTACAATTTCAGGGCAAAGTCCTGAAAACATCTAACTGCATGGCTCCAGCAGAAAGCTATGATGTTTTCAGGCAGTGACCCAGTTAATCCAGTGCTTTCAAATTATTTCTGCTTCTGGAATTTAAAAAAGTAATGATCCACGGCTTTCCCGATGGCTCTGTCGCTAAAACTCACAGCAAAGCATGCTGGATTGCGGGGTAACGGACGGCTCACACAGACACGTGCTTGAAAAAAAAAGGCATACTGGTGCAATAGACCTAACTTGAGTAAACACTGCGAAAAAAACAGAATACCAGTTTACTTAAAAACTGAGGAGAAAAAGGAAAAAACGGAGGGGAAGGAAAGTCACACTTCAAAGCCCAGCCTGAGAGATTTTATGCCCAAAACAACAGAAAAATGCAGCAGGTGCATGTAAAGTGAACATGTTTGAAACACCACCACCTGAGGGGCGGAGAGCTGTGCCAGGACAGCGGCCCCCGGCCCGACGCCCGCTGCCCACGTCCCGCGGCCAACCCCCACGGACGACAACAGCCGGCAGCGCCTGTCCCGCGCGGGGCCGTCCCGCACAGCCGCCGCTCCGCTCCGCTCCGCTCCCCGCCGGACGCCCCACGGCGCACACCGCCGTGCCCTGCCCGGCGAGGCACGACCCCAGCCCCCGGCCCACTGCGGCGCCCGCGGGACCCCCCGCCCCACCGCGCGGCCACGCGTGGGCGCCGCCGCCTCCCGGGCCGGCCGGCGGGGCGGCCGTTCCCCGCGGCGAGGCAAGGTCAGGCCGTGCGCCGGGACGACCGAGCGCCTCCCCTGCAAGGACTTTCGAAGTTGTTTCAGCGGGTGGGAAACGTCAAACCCGGCGGAGACACCCACGGCCCGGCCGCGCTGGGCGCACCCCACCCCCCTCCCCGCCGGCTGCCCGCCGCCTCCCGCCCGAGCACGCAACGACCGCACCGCCGCCCCCGGCGCTGCCTCCCCGGCCCGGGCGCGGCGGGGGGCGCCTCGCCCTCCTCACCTTCCCCGAGGGACTCCGGGCTGGCGGGACTCGAGCGGCGCCGATCCCGGAGCCGCCGAGGGAGGCTGGAACCGGCGCGACCGCGTCTCCCGCTCCTCTCCGCCGCGCTTCCGGTTGGTGCCGGGGAGCCGGAGCCGCCGCCGCCGCCGCCCCCGCGCCGCCTCGCAGCGGCGCCACCCCGCGCTCCGCGCCGAGCCCCGCGGGGGAGGCCAGGCCAGGCCGCGCCGCCGCCGCCGCCTCAGGGGTGCGGGCAGCGCGGCCGCCCCGCTTCGGGGGGGCGCGGTGCGGGCGCTGGGCGGGCGGCGGGGCGGCGGCCGGTACCGGAGCGGCCCAGGGAGGGTGCGGGAGGCGGCGGGCGGGCAGGACCTCGCGCCCCCCACCCCCGCCGCGCCGACGGGTAACGGGGCGCCTCGCGGCCTGCGCTCCCCTCAGCCGCAGCGCCGGCCGCCCGGAGGTGAGCGGGATGGAGCGTTGGCTCCGCGGGCGGCGGGGGCTGACCGGAGAAGGTGGCCTTCGGCTGGGGCAGGGCGGCGGCTTGCCGGCTCGCCGACAGGCAGAGCCTTCTGCGCCAGGCAGGGCCTGTCGCGCCGGTGGGTTTGGTTCGCGAGCGCGGCCCTGGCGTGGCGAGTGGAGGGAGGCCTGGCACAGCTGCCGGGGCCACAGCTTGGGAAGCACGAGTGCCTTCCTTGCGGGGTTGCTGCTTCAGTGACAGGCGGTATAGCTAAATTTGTCTAGAGTTATTACCAAAGTGACCAAGTGATGGTAATTTAAAAAAAAAAAAAAAAAAAAAAAAAAAAAAAAAAGCTTAGGCCACCTGAGCTGGGATGGCATTGCCACAAGCAGCAGCATCTTTGAAGGGCTGGGTGTTGCCTGGGATTGCCAAACTGCTGTGGGTGCGGGTCAGTGAGAGGGTCTGGAGGTCCCCCCACGTTTAGGAAGGGAGCAGGGTGTGTGCTGCTGTAGCCAGTCCTCCTTTTTATGAATGTGGAAGAAGAGGAGGACTTGACTGGCAAATGGAACCCCCCCATCCCCTGTCCGTATTCCCCAGCTGCCTTCAGGATGGCTGCTCCAGGTCAGGAAGAAAACAGCCAACCCACCTCCACCCTCTGAAGCCACACAGACCCTTCGTTAGCCAAATGTTTTAATGGCATTGAGGTACTCTGCTGTTGCAGAAAACTTTCAGCAAATTGAAAATAAGTTGTCACGCTTAAAGGAAGTGACTCAGAAGACTCAGGGGCAAACAAATTTTCTACTGAGGCAAACATCACATGGCTGTGAGAGTACATTTTTTATATTGGTATCGTGCAAGATTCAATGCCCATCACTGCTTTGCACTACAATCCCCAGCTCATCTACTGGTCCCTGTACGCAGAGGTTTTGCATTCACTGGAGAAGCTTAGCTCCTCGTTATCTCTTATGTTAGACTTGTTCCATGTATGTGTAGATCTACCATATAAAAATCAGCTGTGTAGCACAATGAATCACAGAGGTGTGCAGCATCACACTGAATCATATACATAAATTATACATCACAAAGATGTATGGTATCGAGGTGAATCATGGAAGAAGACTTTAGTGATGAATCAAGTACAATCATTTCGTGAACATCAGAGGCTTTTCCCTAAGGTGTGTTATTTTGGCATGAGGGAGGGTAAAAAACAGTTAAAGCAGTGGAGCACAGGTGTGCATTTCTGGGTGTAAAATAAGATATATTATTCCACTGAGCCATGACAAATAACTGGAGTAAAGTTCAGCAAGATCTTAAGCACTCGGTCCAATAAGTACATGAAGATGCTAAGAGTCGAAAAGCAGGCGGTGGTGACCCCCTTTCACCCACCTGACAGGTTCAGCATTGCCAGGACAAACAGTGGAGGAGGTCGGTGTGCTCTGGATTCCCCTGGACACGGCACTTTCAGGCACTTTCTGTGTGATCTGAGAGTGCTTGTGCTTTACTATGAACTGATCTGCTGGTGAGCCTGGAGGAGGCCTCAGCCAAAGCCAGTCAAAGGTGCCACGTTTTAAAAGAAAGCACAAATATCAAATGCAAATGACACGAAACTCATACACTGGAGGAGGAGAGGTGCTGCCTACTTAGTCTCTTAAATGCTGTGACTAACGTGTTTATCCTTCCTGTCTGAGGCAATTGCCAATTAGTCAAATGATTTAAAAATCTATTTAAATGTTAAATCACTCGATTCATAGGGATTTGCTTCAGAATGCAGAACACTTGCATTCAGAGGCCTCTTGCCTAGGGCGCTTTGTCCAGGCATTTTGTCAGTGGCTGTGTATCTGCAGAGCTGGAATTTATCATGTCTGACTTTAGTCCCTGGTTGCAGAAAGAAATAAACTATTCCAGTAGCACATGAGAAATGAGGGGGTGGTTAATATTTCCTCCTCCAAGAGTAGGAGTGCAGAGTCTGCATCAGGCACTGTGTTAACATGCCACTGTTTAAAACACGTAATTGCACTTGTGCTATTAGAGGACAAGAGTCCGAAAGCGAAGGAGCCTGTGCAAGGAGTGTCCAACCCAGTGGTACACTATCATGAAGCTGTAATTACTACACCAAGGTTTTAAGTGTGTATTTTAGGGCTTGAATTCTTTCTGTCCTCTGGTGAGTGAGCCTTTGGATCTTTTCAAGTGTCTTTCCATTATCATGACAACTAAAAAATTATCTAGGAAAGCTCAGAAACCAGAGTAATAGGAATTTCTTGGGTGGTCATACCATACAAACCAATGAGCCAGAGCATGGCGGTATGGCTTCCCCTTTGCTGTTTTTGAGGCAGCAAATTCAAACTGAGAAACTCAGTGTTAGCTCTGGAGAACTCAATCCTGATCTCAGGCTTCTTCAATTAATATGGAACAGGCAGGGAAAAAAAAAATTAAAAGCAAACAAATGTTACTGTAAAAGCACAACAATTGGCAAAGGATAAAGGCAGCTCTAGCAACTTTTAACTCAATTTTAGAGTTGAAAGGATTCATATGAATTGTCTCTTTACATCTCATTGCCACACTGGGTGTGCAATTACGTCTCACCGCCTTTCAACATGGAAAATACAGTTTCATGAGTACATCGAGGCAGTTTAAATCATCCTGCCTGCCAAAGCAGCAGTCACACCCCTCCCCTGCCTGGCGAGCCCCATTCCTGCTGCTGCGCTGCCCACCTTGCCTTCTGCCAGCACGGTTTTTGCACGGCTGCACGGTGAACTCGGCTGCAGAGGCAAAGCTACTGCAGCGAAAAGCAATCATTTTTCACCCAGATCCGAATGCAGGTCATTGGGTAATTGCACAAAGACTTGTGCCAGCGCAAAGGCAGGAGAGGAGCAAGGGCTGCTATGAGCAGCTAAGAGGGCACAGAGCCTGGAAGTGATTTTTTTAGCAGTAGTGATGGTTTATTCCAGCTTAAACTGTACGTGAAACTCTAGACATGGATAATTTGGAGGTGGACACTTGCTCTGTATTTTTCAATTCTCCTTCAAGACTGGCCCAGAGTTCAGCTCAGGCTTAGTACTGAGGTTTCTTTGAAGCACTTCTGCTTCTTTGGCTGCTATGGCTTGCCTCCATTTCTAGCTTTAAAAATTGTCCAGAAAACATGGTGGGGGTCATGCCTGGGATATACTAGGATGGAAGGTTGGACACACATTGGTGTAGAAGTTGTAGTACTAGTGTACACTAGTGTTAATCTAGCTAGTTTGGGCGATAGTATCAGCACCAATATGGTAGCATTAACTTTATGCCCTTGTACCATCAGGTTTGTGACCTGGAAGAGGTGCACGAGTGGCTCGCCTGAAAACCCTCTCTGCATCATGATTTTTGCTTGTGCTGTCCAGACTGAAATTCATTCAGGTATGTCCAGTTACACTGCAATCAAACACCTCTGCAGTTACACCCCAAAACATAACTAGCAGGGTTGGTTTCATGATTAAAAGAGAACTTGTGTGGTACTGCTAGCCAAAATAAGCTGCATTTAGTCTTTCTGAGAGATGGCAAATGGAAAATCTAAGGAATTACCTTTGGATTTGACTCAGAGGCAATCCTGCTTTTCCTGCTGTAAACGACACAGTGAGTGTGCACCCACAAACACCGACCCGATGCTAGATGCAGCTCCATGCCCACACAGCCCGGGCTGTGATTCCTGTTTGCTTCAGCAGCCCAGTCTCTGGTGTGCTGTGGGCAATGGCTAATTCTCAGTTTTCGTGGGCAATGAAGATAGAGCCAACACTAAACATTCTATATCTCTTGGACCCACACAGCTGGAATCTTTTTCTGCTGTCATTTTCTCGTCTGTGTATTAGAAAAGTAAGGAATATGTGAAGGTGCATATATTGTATATGTAACATAGAATTATAAAGCATTATTAATTATCAAATCATTAATCACAGAATTATTAAATACAGACTGGAATAAAATACAGGCATTTGTGTTGCAGAGAAGGCTGGTGTGCAATGGGTGTATGACATGTGGATCAAATACCTGCTTTGTGCATAATGTTTTTCAGAATTGGCAGGCTCCAGCTTGTACTCTGTTTGTCTTTTGATCAGGCATGCATGCAGTATAAAAGCACATATAACTTTAGAAAAATGTCAATAAAATTAACAATGAGATAGCAATGAAATGGCAAAATACTAACCAGGGATACATTTCTTGAGTGTTTTACAAGAACAGTTTTCTTATCTTTTACTGGCACCACAATTTTTATCCTGTAATCCACTCACTAGTACTCTGCTCAGTTACCATTTCATTACATACTTTTAATTATATATATATAGCTCATACTCCTTATATTAAATTTTGTGGTCCAATAGACTTGTTGTTCTAATTTGGGCACATTTTTTTCTCTAAAATGTAATATGGCTTAAAACTGTTTTCTTTGTTTTAAAGCTGTACTGAATTTACTGTTGCTGTGCCCATTTGTGTTTTCTAATTCACACCACTGCGAGCTTCACTGAAGCAACAGTCCCTCAATTTTCTTCTAGTAAGTTGCTCATAGGGAGTCTGGGGAGAGGCAGGCACAATTCCACCTCTGAGGACCACCAAGGGAAGATGACAACAGAGAACTTTCAATAGCTGTTTCAAGTGTATTTTCTTTATTAAAACTGATTAGTATCTAAATATGTAGTACATTTACCTTTCTTGGAAAGTAAAGGCAGCCACTGGAATAATGAAAACCTTGGCCATCGTCAGCAGAGAGTCAGTTTGAACTAAAAAAACATTAGCTCCTTTTAATGATGTACTGTAGCTTACGCTTTTTTGCTACTTATTTAATGCAGAGTATGTCAATTAGAGACAAATCTGTCTACTGAAGATGACATCTTTTACTCTTTGGATTTAGAGACGAAATAAGGCTAGAGAATTTCCATGATATTAGACTGCCTCAGAAAAGCCCTTATTCTAGATAAATCTGTTTAGCTATATCGTCTCAGTGCCTTTGCCCGTGTTTTCAAAAAAAAGGTGATCAACCGCTCCCAAACACTAGCACGCTATTAACAACGGCTAGTTGTGACAGGAAGGGAGAAAAAAAAACCTATGCAAGCCTCTAGCTGGATTCTGGCAACAGCGCTAACTGAGCAGGAGCATCACAAAGGAATTACAGGCCAGACAACTGGAACAGGAGAAACATTAGGGCAGGAATTACAAATGGAAGGAAATGTTAGATTTCAAACAGATGCTAGGCAGCAACCTGCCAGAACCAAAGCCCTCAAGGGTCAGTCCTACAGAGAATGAGGACATCTAAAGAAAACCCAAGGCAACACTGGCTCTCTGTTATCTGAGAACATCCACAATGCTTCCGACAGTACTCCTGCGCAGAAATAATGTACACCTGTGAAAAACCACAAAGAATCGGCAAATACAGCTAGCGGATTCACTTGCTGGCTCGGACAGCATCTGAAGAAAGAACTATTTAAAAACACAAGAGGTGGTGTTATAATGAGGAAACCATGGAGAGCAGAAAGCTTATGATTATTGACAGAAGTTGATTAAGAAATGGATTATTGTCTGTTAGGATGTTGGAGCATCTCCTGTCACCTCTAGCCTACGTATCTTTATGTAAATTTCCTTTAATTGAGGTATTCATTTACAATCATTATTTTCACTGGTAATGTGCTTTATTTGCATTTAAAAGCAAAAAGAGGAAAAAAATTAAACACGACTAGCTGACCCCTGCCATGTGACAAAGGCTTTGCTTTTTGTCACTCTGACCCAAATGGATTAGGGCCAGGAAATAAAGGTCAGTCTCTTACCAGTACCCCTGTGTGTCACATTTTTTATTACATGGAGTTTCCAATAAAAATATTCCAATTTGCGTCAGTAATTATGCATTCTTTATGCATTTTCATGTAGTTTTCTGAGTTTATTTTGAATTCAGAAATTACCTTTGAGTGCCTAACCTATTAAAAAGGAACCCTTTGTGAAATATCCTTCAGCATTTAGATGTAAGTGGCAGATTTTTGTAGCTGTACATGCTCTTTTTTGCCCTTTTAATTATAAGAATCTACCTTTTCACAGTAGTTCCCCCATCACTTGAGCCATAAACCACCAGGACCGTGGTTGGATTACTTTCCTTTGTGAATTTAAAAGTTATTTCCTTAGTGGGGTGCTGTGTGAGAGCTGTATTTTATTGCTGAAGCAGCGCACGGGGCAGATGGAGTACGAGCCAGTCTTCCCCGTTACTGGATGGCGCCTGAGTAAATCCGGGGAGGACGTACCCCGGGTGCTCCTGCAGCACCCAGCACCGCGCCGAGACGCTGGGAGTCAGGTTCTAGCCACCAGCCGTGTCGGGGAGCTCACCCTCCTGCGGAAGTTGTTTGGGGAGGGCAGTGCCCGTTCCCGAGAGAGGCAGAGGGGCGAGGGTCCCTTGCGGCCGCTGAGGCCAGCCGCCTCGGCCGAGGGCCGGCCCCACGGTACCGCCGCGGGGAGACCCCCCCGGGTGGCGGGGGATGCCTGGGCACGGGGCTCCGGTGGCTGTTTGTGCTCAAAGCGAAGATAAGCTGCCGTAAAAGTTTCTGGTTTAGTAATTTTAATGATAACTTTTTAATCCGGTCATTATTTTCTTTGATTGCTAATACCTTGACCTCTGGTGACAGCTGCTGCTTGTGCCTGCTAAACTTTAATGCAGGCTACAGTAAAGAACATTATGATTATTTGAAAAGGCAGGGTGTAATGCATTTCAGATTAACAGTGAAAGAAAAGCTATTCAAGTTAGAGGTTCACTTTGCCATATCACTCTCTATGCTGCTTTCCTTATTATCAGTACAAAAAAATGAAATGAGAATAGCACATCTTTTAATTTTCTTCCACTATTACCTCTTGATTTGCATTCAGAGCTCCCAGAAGAAATACCGCTGAATTCAGAAGTAGTCTATTTAAGATGCGTGGTGTTTAAAAATTGCTGGAAGAGGTTAAGGTACTGTATATTATGCAGTTGACCTTACTAAGAAGCTATGTTAACAATTTAGTCTTATAATTTTCTGCCATTACATTTTGTTACTTTTTTTTTTTTTTTTTTTAAGCAAAATTCATTATCTCTTTTGGTACCCCTGCAGGTTAAACCTTTTGATTTCTCTCTAACTTATTTTGTAAGATTTCTAAATTGTATTTAAACTGCTTGTACTTAAAAGCTTGTTTTGCCCGTCTCTTTGAAAATAGGGGTTTTTTTGTCTCTGTCGCTCTCTTTGTACCTGGTCTGCAGAGGCTGTGCGCCTTCACAGCATTTTCCTTTGGAGGAAGAAACCCAAGCCCTCCATCTGCAGAGTCCTGCAAATATATTTGAACTTTTTTATCTGGTACTATCACGTCTTTGTGGCTGATCAAGTTTGAACAAGATGTCCACGGAAAATATTTTGGATCCTGCCTTTACCAAACAGTAAGTAGCCTCCTGGTCTGCTGGATTCAGCCTCCCAGGATTTAACCTTTGTTCCCTGGCTCTGTCTAGCCATGGCCAGCACTGGGCCTGGTCATTGAGTGAAAGGACAAATCCGAACAGAGCAACAGTAGGAAAATGTGCCAGGGGAGGAGTGGAGCTGTGCCCCGTGTCGCTTCAGGCTCCGTAGCCCTAAATAGAGGTGTTTGTGCTCGGTGCTGCTGCTTGAGCAAAAAACCGTGTCAGCAGAGGAACCCTGCAGTGCAGGACGTCTTCCAAAATGCCCGAGGTGTCACCATCCCGGCTCCGTGGTCCCCGGCAGCGGATGTTTATTATGGACACTGCCTCCTGGTCACCCATCATCTAAAAACTACAGCTATGACTGCTGGTAAATAAAACCGGGTCAGGGGCTCTGGGGTCTGCGGCCGAGCAGTGCGGACCAGCCGTACGGGCGCTGTACGACCCGTGACCCTCAAGCACTGTCGTTATTTTGAACCAGTTTGTATTTTTTCAGTCTGAGGTGTTGAAATAGGGAGGTGTTGAAATGCTGTGGTGCAGCATTTACGCTGTTGAGGCAAGCGGGGCCGATGGAGGTGTGGAGCTTGCTGGGACCCGCTGGAGGGCTGCGGGGAGGGGACGGAGACGGGCCGGACAGGCTCGTCTGTATTTCCCGCGGGCAGTGGTCCCTGGCGCGTCCCCCCACACACAATGGCTAGTTGGCAGGGGCCAAAATTAGGCCGAACAGTGTGCTGCAACCAAAGCAGGATGGACCAGCAGCAGTGCAGGTCTCTTTTGCTGGGCTGTGCTGGCACAGCATCTGAGCCCGCGCTTACAGACCGGCCCCGTCAGCAGGTGAGGGGTATCTCTGCATTGGAGCAGGATCAAGTTGTGACTCGCAGCTGCAAGCACAGGGTGAAGACAGTGTTTCAGCATTTCCTGAGATCCTATTCATTCTTCACACTGTTGCAACAGTTGCTTAGACTTCATACTGCAAGAATAATATATCAACAGCTGCTTTCCTGTTGTAAAGTCAACACGGGGAGAGAGAGAAGCCCAGTATGGATCCCAGAGCCAGAAGGTAGATTTTTTTTCATTTAATCTCTAGGTACATAGACTGTGATCAGCACTATAGCAACTATCTGAGCCACTCGAATGAGTTAGATACAGAGATAGCAACACTTGTTATTTATACAGCACCCTTTATTGGAAAATTTAAAAATGCCAGATACCAGTTTCATTGAGTAGGTAAACTGCATTCATTTGTTGATACAGAGGTGCCATAAAACCTCTCTTTGTATCACTGGGATGTATCTACACAACAGAGATTGTCTGGCAACAAATAAGTAAAACAGTTAGAGGTTCTAAGGAATAAAAGAATAAACCAAGGGGATAAAAACATACTAAATGGATGAAGAATCGGTCCGTGTGCAGAGCCAAGCTGAAACCTGGCAGCTTTATAAACCAGTTAACACAGAAATAAATGAAAGTCCAAACAACAGGAACAAATCTGGAACAAATAAAATCATGAACTCATAAATGTTGTACATTGATTGTGGAGATAAAAATGTCTTTTGAATTAATTGTGTCCCTGTAGTTTATTCTACTGCATACTTTGCTTCTGGGAAGATTTTGTATCTGAAAAAGCTATAGGAAGTATATTCACAGAGCAGTACAAATGAAAATAAGAAATATTTCTCACTTGAAATAGTAAGAGACAATTTTGTCTCCATGTTATTAGCTGTTTTTCCTCTGAATCATCTTGAACTTCTAGTCAGACAGCAAAGTTAAAATAAATTATTTCATCATGCTACAGAATATTTCTTAACTGTGTAATTCTTTCCTTTGCAGAATGCAGGTACTGAGCAGATAGTGGTTCTATGTGTTAGCATTTCCCTGGTGGCTCTCCGCTTTTGCAGAACTTACGTTTTAACTAAAAGGATGTAGCTATTTTTATATATAAAAAAAATTAAAATCTTTATATACTGACTCCGCGCAGGCCTGGTCATCACCAGTATACTCTGTCTGAGGCGAAATGTAGACCATGTCAGTGAGGTTATCTCTGAAGCTTAATTATGAGATAATATTTGCAACTTGTAATTTCAGGCCTAATCAGTTCTATGACATCCAGCTTCGCAGAGCAGAGCCGGTGTGAATGCAGTGGGAAAGCCTTTTGTCATTTCAACATCACCATTCCCTTGGCACACACTTGGCCACCATCAGTGCTTGCCCTGCAGCAGTACGGCCGTCCTGTGGGGCGTTCAGGCTGGCCCAAATGATCCTGGAGGGGAAGGGGCATGTCCCAGATCACTTTTTCCCTCGTGGCTGCAGGACCTGACAGACCTCCCTGAGGTGACCAAAGCCAGAGGCTTCTCGAGTGCCACGTCAGCTGAGGTCTCGAGTTAGCCAGCCTGGCGTAGAATCTCGTCCAAGGCAAGGTAACTTGCAGTGCTCACATCAGTGGCCAAGCAGGACAAATTAGTCAGGTAGCTAGAATGAAGAATACATCCCTTCTTCATTTAAACCTTGCCAATTCAAATGGTTTCTGTCTTTACATGGGAGGGTAGGGAGCCTCCTTAGAAACTCTACACAAACCAGCTAATACAAACATAGTGTTACGTCACTGCAAGACTGTCATCCCCTGTGGCAGGGATGGATCTCACTGGCTGTACATTGGTCATCCATATCACAACAGATGTAGGCTAACTGCGGTTTCGAGGCTCAGCAAATGACAAGCAAAGTTTGCTATATCAGCCAATTAACAGCATTGCTGTTTATGCAGGAATGAAGCTGAAAGTGCAAATATAAGGTCAGCAACTAAACCTTTCCGGCAATTACATTTAATAAGGTACTGCGTGTTATTTACAGAAAACATACATCACACAATTCCTACACATAAAATGCACACAAAGTATAAAGACAAAAGCTGCACTCCCATAACATGCTAAACAAAATAAATAAAACCAAATTATTTTGGCACAGTAGCTATTACATAAATAAATATCCTAGAACATAATGAATTAACATTTATTTACAGTCTACTGAAAGTGCAAAACAATTGGCTGAAAAGTAAGATATCTGTAAATGCTTAAGACCATAAAATATGTGTTAACCAGCCACAATTAATTATAGCTGAAGTTTAAGGTTTTAATGTCCAGGAAATTATTCTCTTGAAATCTGTTTGTGCATATTGTGCTCTTTTTGAACCAGTCCTTTGCTACCTTTTTGCTATTGATTTTGACAACCTTACTGTCATAATGGAATTTTGTAAAAACCTGATTGGTAGGTTAAAAAAAGAAGTAAAATGTAAACACAGATTAATATATTTATCATTCAAAATATTTTCAGTCCTGTCAGTTCTCTGAAATGGCCACACTGCTTGCAGTAGTAGGCAGTACGAGTAAGACCAGAAGTTTTTCTTAGTATCTGTTGTATTTCAGATGGAAATATTTGTAAGTCTTCTCTGAATGGAACTATACCTCGGACCTCTTTTGAGCCTACATTCTTTCATCAGACATTTACATACATCTTCTACTGAGGTCAACAGCAGCTGGGCAAGCTAAACTGATGCTTAGTTTTGGTCCTGACCTGGAGACTAAATCTAGGGAGAAAAACACTGCCTCCCTTAGAATTGTTAGAAGCTTTTTGTGCATTTTTCACTAACTATTCTATTTTATCTTTTGCCTTTTTTTATCCATATGAGAAATCATTTACTACACTTTAAGATGAATTAACAGTTCACAACATGGCCACCTGTACAGCTACAGTGCATAAATTCTTCCTCAGCCAAAGTTCTCTGACAGGCTGGCACGCTGTGCGTTGCCCAAGACCTTAGAATATGTTTTTGCTTATTTTTGTAGTGGCAGTGCAGTAGCAGAGAAAGTGAAGTTCTGAACAAGTGACCTTGACAGGATAAAAGATCATTTCTCATCATTGCTTCAAATGTTTATGCTCGACGCGGTTCTAGTCGGTGAGACATCTGTGATAAAGTTCTCTGGTTGTCAATCACATTTAATTGCCGCACATAGCTCCGAACATCCTGATGGTTCTTATTAGTCAGGGCTGCATCGGGATCTGGTGAAAGAGAAATGATGTAGGATTGATACACTTAAGCAAACAACTGCCTGAACAGAACGCATAAGTCTTTACAAGCTGTCACAGGAAACACCAGATCCTGGTGAGCTAAAAGGAAAATATTTAGAAATCGCTCTCTTTGAAACCTTTCCTCCATCCATATCCGATAGTCTTTCTGGTTACTACCCTCACAAATTAACCTTTTCTCTCAGATATCCTTGGTTACATTTATTCAAATTGATGGCCCTTGGTTACAGTTTTATACATCGTCTTACCAGTCAATAGCTATAAATTATATAGCTAACTAGTATGATTTAAAGCTGCCCATCTGCTTGTGAACCAGAAGCTTTCACACAGATTCAAAAATATACAATTGCTTTAATCCTCCTTTCATGAAATATTCCCATTATATTAAATACTTGTAACAGTGTGGTGCTAGGCAGCTGCCCCATTCAAGCCTTGACATTTACTACCCGTTTACATTATTTAACATAACCACATTATACCTACTCCAGCAACAATTATGAAATATCACTGAGTTAAAATCTGAGTATCTTCAGCCCCACTGTGAACAGCTTACATTTTGATGAAATATCTAACAGGTAACTTAAACTTCTCTAAAAGAAAGATACTGAAACATCCACAATATATAAATACACATACCCACAAACAAAAAGCATGGGACATAGATACGGTACCTCTATATACTGACATTTTGTTATGTATAATGAAAATCCACTTCCATTTCTAAATATGTGGAGCTTTCACTAGTGCTTTATACATTAAAATGAAAAGATACCTAGCCAGAAGAACCTTCATGGCGGGAATAAAAAAAACCCCTCCCTTAACTTGATCTTCCAAAGTTAAGCTTTGACCCATACGGAAATAAACTATTTTTATAAAAATATTTTGGTTTTGTTTTTTTAATAAAAATATTCCGTTCTTTGAGAAAGAACAGAATAAATGCCACTTGTAAGGCAAAATGAATGAAGGGCTGAGGAAATGCCAGTGTGACTGGGACTGACAGTGCACCTAGATGGGATGAGACCCACAGAACAAGCCTGTTTGATCACGGAGCTCTGTCATCTTAAATGACCTCAAGCCTGACAAACAGGCTTTAAGTTCATTACCTTATGCAGTTATGTCATTTATAAACATCATGTTTCTGGCCTGGTTTCCTGTAAAAACAGGGTTTATCTAAGCAAGTATCTTGCATGTATCTGTGTGCCACTGTCTGCTAGCCTTGTTTCAACCACTTCTGAACTCAGTGGCCAATGTCAACCAATTTTAATTTAACAGATGTGTAGAGACCTCACAAATACTTAGCTCCCTGACATGCTTGGAAAAGAGATGGAGGAGAAGGGGCTTATTAGAGCTTCCTGAAGGTTATTTCACCCGGTGAAACACTGGAGGATCCAAACCTGGAAGAATTGCTGGAAACCAGGCTTTTGAATTCTGGTACATACAGAATTAGTTGTAATTACTGTAGCTACTGATGATAATGCTGACTGTGCAGATGTTGTAATACACTTACTGAAAGATTGGCTTCGGCAGAATTTCACCGTCCTGACAGTGTTGGCAATCATGCGCTGGAAAGGAAAGACGGGACGCAATCAGAGAACAAGCACTGTATTTCATCATCATTTAAACGAAGCACCTAACTGTGCCTGAGTGTGAAGACATATGCCAATAAAAGCAGTCATATGAACGAATATATCATTTGAATGCTGATACCGCCATATGTAGGGTGTGATTTGCATTTACACAGGCTTTAAATGAGCATGAGTGTAATTTACATGCACACAGAGAACCCTTTCCCTTGCTTGGATGCTTTAAGAAGCCTTAACTAAAAATGAAAATCAGCCCCTTCAATGTGCATTTCTTTGATATCATCTTCCCACATTAAAAAGTAAAAGGAATATAATGTAGAATGCCTTGGAGTAGGTACATGTTAATTTTAAGACCATCAGTTCCTAACAGCAAGGCCATTTCTAGAACACAGTCAGCAATTAAAGAGCTTTCACCTTTCATATGAGTTTGAGTGTAAAATGCAGCCCTCCTGGAAAATGACAGTGTGAAACGACCATGTGAGGGTATACGTTCACTGATTCCCTCTGGAAGTATGCTCGATTCACAGGTGAGAAGGCCAGCATTAGAACTGTGGCTCTGTAGCCAAGTTTCATCAAACAGATCTGTTAGACAGTGTTAGCTCGCACAAGTGTATCTAATCCAGCATGAAAAGTGGATTCATTCTGGCGCACATTTCTACTGGCAATTCACAAAAAACAGCAGAAGTCACTTCAGTCCTTCTTGGCTCTGCCTGCTCTTCAGTAAGCCAGCCATCATTTCACTCACTTAGGTAAGAAAATAGTAATCAATACGTCTTGCTCTGATAAATCAGATGCTATTTTACATTAGTTTTTAAGAACAGAAATGAAGGTAAGAAGTCATAAAGCAAAACATTTCAGACTGAGTTCTGGACAGCAAAATTTTAACTGGCTTGTGTGATTAGTGCCATACAGGTAATACACTCATCAGTGCAGGGGCAAAATCAGTTGTTCTGCATAATATCAAATAAACTGAAATTTCAGCAGTAAAACTGAATTCCTTAGCTAGTTTGATTCAGTCACTGTTGTAAGGACAACATTTGTTTCAGTTTCTTAGATTAAGAAAAAGCAAGAGGAAGGAAATGCTATTCCTAATCAGAATCTAATGTTTGTTCCAACACTTCAACATGGTCCAACAATTACAACACAGCTACCTGTTTTAACACAGCACGCTCTCACCAGGCTGCTTCATGCCTTCTTGTAATTTTGTGGGGGATTAATAAGACACTCATAGGCACTTACACAACAGAATGATGTATTTCTTGCTAGTAAACAGTAAAACTTAATGCATACACTCCTCAAAATTAACACACAATTATAATCTTACATGAAAATGATGTAAATAAATAAAATACCTTTGTGAAATCTGTCATTCCAGAAGTGGGAAGGACCAATGTGAAACATTCCTTACACACAAACTGAATAATCTTAAGACATTTTAATGCATTGTCAAGCATAGAAAAATGGGTATGCCTGGCGGTCAGCATTAGAAACACTATTCATGTGTCATGTACTACATTTTTGTGGATTACACATTGTAAATGTAGTTATTACAAAACATCTAAAATATTTTAATTCTAAAATGCAAGTTCCCAAAAGCTCTAGGGAATCTGGATGTGGGTCTGTTTATGTTGTTCTAAAAGCCATACGTGGGGAAAACAAGTAGATTTAAAGTAAGAATAGTTTTTATCCTATGTTAATTTTCATACCTCTTCAAGCCATTACTACTAGGCAGATTTTCTAAGGCACTTACCTTGCGAATATTCTCGTATGTGTTTAGCATTAAGCATGTGAATACGTCCCATTGACTTCAGTGGAATGTCTTAAGTACTCAAACACCCACTGGACTGAGACAGAGCACACTGCATATTACAGTGTTGGTTCTTTGAGTCTAACCCAATCAAATGAAAATCAAAACAACATGAACAAGTGAACACAAATGTTTCATAACTCTGCATACATACTTGTCTCTGTTGTGTGATGCTGCTATTCTGATTTATACGATTTCAAAAAATACTCCCCTAAAATAACTACTTCAAGGAGAGACCATAAAGTTTAACTGGACCAGCCAACCTGATGAAGTTTCAAGAGCATCTAAGTTCAGAGGAAGCTTTGCTAAGGACACGTCATTTTTATGAAGATAGCTAGCGTTGCTTGATGTGCTTTTTAGATGGATTGTTAATACACACCCTAATTTTTCATACCTGTAAATGTTTATGTTTTGAAGCCTCATTTAGTAATGATCTTTGGATCTACACTGTAGGCTCAGTGTTTGATTAGTTTAGTATTAAGCTTCTTAGGTGAAAACAGATTTATCAAAATAAGTGTGTTCTGTGGAATCATTTTATACTCTTTTTTTTTTTTTTTCGTTACCTGGGGAATTAGTTCTGAAAAAAAAGCACAGCATTCAAAATATGTACTGTAATGCTGCATTTTACTGAAAGACAAATTATCTGTGTAGCAGAGGTTTTAAAAAAGTTTTCACTATTTCCAAATTTCTAATTATATGGGCTATTCCACGCAAGGAAATACCGAAGAGGCAGTAAACTTCTCTGACTGCTGGTTAAAGGCTGAACTGCCTATCTTCCTTCAGCTGGCTGAAAGGCTTAATTTCAAGGAGTTACTTTGCCTACTCCTGAGGATAATCTCATTCAATCTGTGCATTCAGAAGTATCCTGGCAATGATGATACACAAAGGAATGAGGAAGTAGTTGTTAGAGTAAGTGGAGAAACGGTGGCCAGAAGTCAGCATCACAACCCAGTGGGGAGATTCTGGAGCATTATGTATCCTTGAAGAGCTCCTGTCTAATATAAACTCAAAAGAGTTCCTCTTTGGAAGCTGCAAATTGAACAGAAAAACAGCATATGAAGCGAAAGTGGATTTCCCTTCCTGAATCTTGTAGATAAGTTGGATTGTCTTCTTTTGATTCAAGAAAACTAGAAACATGTACAGAGAAAATGTCCAGATGAAAGTTTAATTGCCAGCTCCTTACAATTTTTCTTCAAATAGAGGATTACCTCTAGTTAATGCCTGCAGAAATTAACCTCTGTTTACTCACTGTGCTAAGAAAGAACATTATCGAAAAGCCATACAAACCTAAATTTGGATCTTTCTGAAATAGAACCAACTGCATAATATGACAAGCAGCCACTACTATCAGCATGCTATAGATACACAACAATACCCTTTCAAGTTTTACGCAGTCTGGAATAGTGGCAGCAGGCCAGCACATTATCTTCTAATCCATTCCAAACCCAGGTTTCTAAATGTAATAAATATTCATATTTGCCATAGAAAACTACTAAGGGCTTTAGTCACACGCTTTTTGCATAATCTTTATGTTTCAAAAATGAAAGAATGTTTGCCCTTTTTTTGCATAAGGATCAGAGTGTGAATTCCCTTTTGTTCATCTCCACAAAACCCGAAAACCAATATGTGCAGATTCTCTAATCCTCATTTCACACCTGAGGGGTGAAGAGGCTTGACAAAAAGAAGCATCAATGGCCAGCATCATGGCACTGTCTTGTGCTGCTATGGCAGGTCAGCACTTTCAGAGCTCTCTGCTGACTTCTGCTCCCTCTACAGGTGCCGTTTCTGAGAGATGCTGGGTAGTGTGACATGGAGATGGTGCCACAGAAAGTGATCTTTGTTCAGGCTGTCTGATGATTTGAGAAATGGCACTGATAAAGTTCCAAAATAATTGCATCTTCTCTCTCTCCCTGAATACAAAATTCTGTACTGGCAGTCAGAGCGAAGGATTATGCAGCGGAGGTTTGAAAAAAAAACGCAAATCAGTAAGTGGTCAAGAGTATGAAATATTACGTGTCCTTAAGGAGAGTCATGCTCAGTACCTTCCTCACTTTCCTCTCTCTTCTTTTCCTGGCAAGACATAATTCTAGGAAAGGGCTTTTAAATTTTTTCTGAATATATAGCTATAAAAGCAGTGTCACTTGAATGTTATATATTGCCATGTACTGTGCTGCAGGCTGTAGGTAATCCTGTATCTGCTAGATCACACAGAGTTTATAGGAACTAATACTACTGACAGCTTTGGGGGTTCTCCTTTACCTGAAAAGAGGGTCATTAATGGACCTAAAAGATAAATGTGCATTCTAGATCACAAAGTAATTGTGTTTGCTGTGTACTGCCATCTTTTTATCTTTCACCTACTTGCAGCTCTCAAAATGTCCTCAACTTGCCAAACTACAATTACAGGGTTTTAAAAACTTTACAAGCCTATTCATTCCTTGTTCCTCTAGGACAAGTATGTCTTCAGTTTCTACATAGATGGGTCTTCTAAAGCAACACTTACAACTAACATCTCCTGTCAACTCCCTAGTGGAGAAAAAATGCAGGTCACGGAGTATATGCCAACCTAGACAGCACATCCAAGCAACACCATGGTGGAAACAGCTTGTACCTTGTCTCCATCAGCTTCTTACAGTGAGATACTTCTCGGAAACCATGCCTTGTTTGGTATTGAAGACAAAGCCTTTTACTAAAGGCTTATACTATTAATACCAGTAATTTAGTTATTCTGTCTACTTACTGACAAAAGTGTAAATAACATGTTCAAGGCTGGATTTTAAGGCCAAATGCTTGTTTCCTCCACCCCACCCCTTGCTTCATGCAATAAATGGCATGGGAAACAGCACAAGTACAGTGCAAATACAAAGAGTATACCTATTTCTGACAACATTCAATATTGTTTGCCCACATACTGCACAAACCAAATGGGTCTGCTTACAAACTTCCCTCTTCACACATAGCTGTGGGTCTACCACACATGGGATTCTCTTCCCTGGCCAGCTGTCCCTGCCCTCCCACACTTCACAGCCTCCCCTAAATAAGAGGCATCCATGGGGATCAGGAGACGGGAAAGGGGAAGAAGGAGCAGGCAGTTACAAAGGCAGCAGCAGGTACAGCTCAGCAATGCTCTGCACAGTGATGTCCCCCCACTACTTCCAATACCACAGTTCTGCCACACAACCTCTGGAAAGATGTAGGAAAGCGTAGCAGGAAAAAATTGACTCAGTCCCTTTTGGTTTTAGCTTGACTTGCCAAAAAACCCCCTAGGCTAATGTGGTTTAATGACAACTGCCTGTTTTTCCCTTCTCTGGATAATTTTGACAAATTTAAAAAAACTCAAGAGTTTTCAAACGTAAGAAAGGTCCTACCAGTCTTCTGTGAAAAAAGATGGCTGTGGACAAGAGAAGGATCATGTAAGTGCCCTCTTCTGTCTCCTTCAGGGAAAAGGCTGTAGTGCAAGTTCCTATGTTATGACAAAAGCCTATTCACACAGAATTCCCCAGCCATGAAGAAACCACACATGCCTCAGCCACGAGGAAAGCTCCGAGCAGGGTTCAGGCAGCCATGAAACACAAATGTTTAGGAAACCAGGCCTCACTGTTTCTGGCACTCGGGGAACTCCTGGCTCAGGCACTGTCTGACAGCTCCTGCCTGTTTTAAGATGCATCGTTTGATATAAATAATAACAGAAACATCAGAAAACAGAAGAGATTTAAAGGAAGCTGTTTCAGCTGAAGAGATGCCACTAGATCAAACTTCTGCTTTTGGCTGGCAGTTACAGGAATAAAGTTGTCAGCGACACATCAGCTGTTGGGATCAGAGTTCTGTGATGAGAATGCAGACATGATGCCAGAGGCTGTTCTCAGTTTCATCACTGTGCTTACACAAGAGACAGAGGGACCCACCTCCTCCAGTGGGAAATGGCACCATCAGTGGCAACTACCCAGATATTTTATTCATAAACTTCAGCAAGCATCAAAGTTAGGACGGATCAAGGGAAATCATTTTCCAAAGAATTAAGGTGTTTTAGACAGTTCCGTAATAGAGTGGCTCCCAGCAATATTCAGTGGTATCTCCATGTGCCTGTGACAGAACATCACCATGCAGCAGAACAAACAGCCAGAAACAACAACTGGAGGACAGGATACCTGTGAAGAAATCTGATTTCTGCTTTTCTCCTGAAAATGTCACACTAACATCACGGATTTACCTTGAGTTTATACTTATGTAAAAGAGAGCTGAATTTATCTGTGCGTTATCTGGCTGAGTGGTCTTGTCTTCACTAGTTAATATCTGGCAATTATGTGTGGATATGACAGTTGTAAGCTTAACGCAAGTAGGCGGTAGTGACTGAGGTTTAACAGTACTCTTTTCTTCTCTGCTTGACCTGATGACACATGCAAAAAGCTAAAAACTGCCAGGTCCACATTAGGATTTGAATGAATTATGTGGGTGGAATCTGAATATGTTGCTCTGAAGAGCTATGGGTTGAGAGAAGCCGTAAAAACACCATAGAAGCATGTAGAATAGCCAGTGAAGAACATTAAAAACACAAAATATATACTTGTTGTAAGGCCTGGAGAAAAAACAGAGTGAGTTTTTAGGTAGAGTGCTAACTGAAGAAAGGTTTAAAATATTGAGAAAATGTGGAGGAACATGAGATATTATACTGATTCTTTGAAATATATAAAGCATCAAAAATACATTAATTGATCTTCACTTTCCCCTCCTAAAGGAAATGCTCAAACCACTGATCAAAATGAGTGACACTACATTCATGTATAAAATTTTAGTTAAAATGTTTCTGAAGATAAGGAAATGTGCAGACTAGGGTGAAAAGGGCAGACTTGCAGCAGCTTAGATATAGATCCGTTTAAGCTGCTATAAAATTCACTTTTGGCCTTAGGAGTGCCGAAGTGTGGTATACAGTGGTGCAGAACAATTTCTAAATGACAAGCCTGGGTTGAACTTCTGTCTATGGGCAAGAGTTCACAGGATTGCTTTTGCCTCCCGTAGTGGCTTTTACACATCATCAGGCATAAAGAGCCTGAGGCACACAGCTCTGAGGCCTGCGGAGGTACCAGCTCTTCTGGCTCAGAAGGTGTTTAGTAGGCCAAGTGAGGTGGAGAACATGGAGCCAGCCACAGAGCCATGGCTATAGCAATGCAGCTGCCATTCCTCCTGGTTTGGAGGTGCTCCAGCCAAGTCTGAGATCCCTCTGTGTTCCCCAAATCATTTACTATCTACACTAGAATATATATATTTATCTGTCTAATTAGAACAAGAAGTCCAGGAAAAAGTCTGCAGGTAGAAGGCTCAAGGCATTTGGAAAGAGATGGCAATGCAGTCTCTGTATGCAATTACAGAACATAATTATTGCAAAGTGAGGTCAGGCCCTTACTAAGGCATTAGCGCTACTTTTGCCCACAGAAAAGTCTCAGCTTAATAGAGAGGTATTTTCACCCTAGGACAGAGGCTATCCTGGAGCTACAGACTAAAATCTAAGAGAAGAATTCACTCAGAATGATGATCACTTTTCTGTAAGGTTTTCTAAAGAGCTGAAAATCCTCCTCTTTTCCCCTCTGTGGTATCAGGGCTCAGCGGGTAAGACAAACTCCTCCATAGTGCAGTGGAAACAACCACGGAGTGGTTCTGGGGACTGTAATAGTAAGAACAAGCAGATATAGGTGCCAGAGTAGATATGTTATAGCATCACTGCTGAATGGAGCTTTCCTGCAGAAACAGTAAGTCAGGTTTGGTTTTGCAGTGCAGCTGCTCATAGCTGGGTTTGGCTAAACCTGGTTTTCAGATGTAGGTGTCACTAACCCCATTAATTAAGAACATGGCCTTTGCAACCAAGAAAACTGCTTCTCACTGCTGAGAAACTTAAGTTTCAGTTGAGATTTCTGCCATGGGAAGTTCCCTGCCTGCAGTTTCCGACAACAGTGTTTGAAATGATGAAAGCTTATGTGCAGGATTTAAAATAAATAAAATCTGAGCGTAATCTAACCTTCTATCATTGATCCCCCTTTCCAACATGAAAGCAATCAAGTCACAGAAGTCACTTTTTACTTATTAAAGGAAAGAAGAAAATAAGATGTTGTGCACTTTCTGTATTAAAGTTCCTTTCATTCTCTGAGGAGCAATGCAGAAATATTCCAGCCTGAGGCAGCTCAGTCCTGTTTGAAGGAACAGCAGTTAAAATCACAGCTTGGTCCCAAACTGGCTGTTAAAAATTGTCTCTAACAGCTCTGCTTCCTGTCACTGCTGCTGCCTCTCCTAGGAAACATTTTGGCTGTGCATGGCTCAGTGGGCAGTTGCTTCTCCACCTCTGTGAGGTTTTCCAGAAACCCAGAGGTCCCAGGCGCTGTGCACAATGCAGACTATTTTTGCCAGCTCTTGGTACTGCCTTCACTTTCTCTAGCCCTGGAAGTCACTGTTGAGAAGTGCACTCTAAGAGATTAATAAGGAGGTCGTTTTAAATTTTCCTTTCAAATATGTCATACATACCATTTTTTCAAAGTTTACTAGATTGTCAGTGAATGTCTTGTTTCCCTCATGAGTAAATGTCATGTCTGCATAGAAACAAAAGGCACATAAAAGCCCATTACTGAATCATGGCCATATAAACAGCAGAACATTTTATCCATCCTTTACAAAAATCAAAGCAGCTATAAAACATTTAGTTTTTAATTTGCAGCATTTCTGAGACTAGTAAAATTGAGGTATGATATTCAGATATATTAAAGCAATTTTTCTTGTCTCTGTGTCATGCTTTTTATAATGGAAAAAGATAACGCCTCACACAGAGATTGAATTTTGCTTTCTCTTGCTGCTACTCTTATTCTTCAAGTATTTGACAAATAGCTTTCAAGTTAATAATTCTGGTAACATCCAAGCTTACCTTTTATAAGTAGTGGCATGAAAGGAATTATTGGAGGGTCCAATTTAGCTACAGTTAGTCTGTAGGCCCTATGGTTTCTTGATGGATCCTTAAGAAAAAAAGAGAAATCAAATAATTACTAATATGTATTATTATATGTATTGAGACACTATGCATTCATTTAGATGTCATGGCATTTATTAGAATCATTATTTTCTCCCGTGGCTTTAAAAGTGCATCTGCAAACTAAAACACCTTTTATCATTCTCCCATGCAGCTTACATGATGAGAATGCAGCTGCTAAACACAAACATTTTTCATGCCAAATAGCAAGGTAAGATATGATTATTAAAAAATGGTTCATAAAAGGAACCACATATTTTTCTTCCCTCCTTGCAGCTGCAGATCCAGTTTTGCATATGTTGTAACACTAAAATGTATTGCCTGGAAAAATCCAGGTTGGAAAATATAATTTCCCATATGTACTATTGGAAAACATGTTATAAAGCTTTTCTGAGTTCCCAGATTAACTTTGAGTGGTACATAAGTTCTCTCAGAGTAGGTTCCTAAGAGTATAATTTATTAGTCATACATACTTGTTTTAGCAGCTCTAAAATGGGATCATAAACTTCTTAAAGTCAAACAAGGACATATAAAATGTTCTGAATCAAGGAATTCAAATCAGTTACTCAGAAACTGAATTAGCTCAGATTGTGCATAGAATAAGGGATCTATTGCTATTCACCATTAAGCTTTCAAACTCTGCATAGATCTTCTTGAACTTGCTTGGAAGTTTCTGTTAATAAAAACAAAAATAGCAAACCTTAATTAAATCCAATTTGTGTGGTAATTTTACTGTAAATGCTAGTTCCTTCTACAACGCCCTAAGTCAGGAAAGTGCTCTTTTTGCCAGATATTTCTAACAATGTGCTAATCTAAAATACAACATGTCTCCTAGCAACCAGATTATAAATAGAGACGGGACCAGCCATGAAACCTGGATCCTGATTTAAACCCCAACTTGAATTTACTCCTTTGGGATGTTTAGATTCAGATTTTTGTTTGGCCTACATCGCAATCACTGAATTCAGAATGTAAGTGAAAGTTCAAGTCAATGGTTTCAGGACATTTCTGATTATAGCCTACCTGAAAATATAATTTGCACACAGCTTGCATAGGGGTATCTCAGCTTAATTATTCATACCTATGATAAACTGTCCTTGCAACATTCAAATCCATGCCTGGGCATTTCCAGGAGATTTTTTTGTTCATGCTGACGTATCACCAACTATTGCTCAAATTCCTGACATGCCCAGCAGCCAAGGGCCTCTACCACTTTCTGGTATACAAATTAATGAACAGTTTTTCACAGTACCTACACAAATAAATCATGGTCAGTTGATCATGCAGTGATAGGGATGAGATGGGTTTTACTAAATATTTTCTTCCCCCCTCACATTATGTTATACACATTAAATAATTTTACTGTAAAGACTGTAAGATATATTATAAATTAGTTTCAGAGATCACAGTAATGTTTTTTGTATGTTCAGAATATGCCAGCTTTCTAGTTTTAATCAGAAATTTCTCTATATTTGCTGATTAAATCAGACTACTACTGGCAGCACATAACATTAAAAATGAACAGAGACTTTACAGTGCAGAAATTATTTTTTGCAATACTTTCTACATTTGGAGTGTGTACCCTAGCACGATATTTACACTGTGCCACAGCAAGGGCCTAATTTTTAATGATGTGTGTGAACAACTGTGTGCCTAGTTTGCATATGCATGCAGATTAGGTATTTGTGAAATAAGTGGTATAATTGGACATTTGCACCTGCAAATATCTAATTTGTGCATGCAACTAATGTAAATGCATGATAATATAGCAAATATCAGGTCTTGATACGTTTTTATAAAAAGTATATTCTGTATATACATCTGGCTAAAAATCAAGCTGCAGAGATTCTCTCTATAAACTGACTGCCCTGCAGAACCAGAGTGTGATAACATTTCCCTGAACTCAAGTTCATACCGCACACCTACAGATGATCTGTGTCCCTCCAGCTCAAACCCTGTGCTTATTTCAGATTACCGTATGTAGTAATTCAATTCCCTCTTCTCTCTTCATACTACTCCTGTACTCCCTTAGCTCTCCCAACTATTCCTCTTGGTAGCTACAAATGAAGGGTCGTTATTTTGAGAAACTGATCTGCAAATCTTTGCTTTTAACAGTGATTGTATATACCACTTGCAGCAGGTACTCCTGAAAACTGGACCGGTGTCTTCTCAGATGTGTTAATCTGATCTCCTACTTCTGATCACTTTTTAAAAGGTGTTCAAATTTTGGTCTCAGTTGCATCAATGACCTCGGTCATGCTAACTGTTTTGAATTTCTAATGAACAAAATACATGCACATTTAAATCTGCACTGCTTTTGACAACCAATATATTCTTAGTGGTTACATGTGCTTACTGCCTCACCCTGCTGGACATTGCACCCTTTTTATATACTCACATACAAACTAGCAAAGCCACAGAAAAAGGTGGAAGCTCTGAGAATGAAGACCAAACTGATAGTAAGCAGAGGAATGCATGTTAGAGAGAAAAGCAGAACTGGTTAGGACAAACCCACATTTTAATAGGGCAACAGAGTCCATATGGAGATCAGAAAATAATATGTATGAATGGAGGATGGATTTTAGAGGAAGTATCTATGGAGTGATCTCACTAAATGATCAGTAAAGTCAGAGGATGGGCTAATGTAGGAGGCTAACTGGCTAACTCACTCATCCTGTTGGGCAGTTTAGCTCATCAATAGAAGCTGCTGTTGTTACTCTTCTTAACTGCTTATGAGTATTCAACACATGTATGGGTATAACTGCCTTACTAATAAAAACTGTCAGCCTTAGCTAAAGGCTTCTGCTCAGAAGCTGAATTAGTAGATCTAATTTTATCAAGAACAAAGGCCCAAGTCATGTTTTGCTAACTAAAAGCACAAATTCCAGTCAAACTTATTGGAATTGGATTTTAGATAAGACTTACCTCCCATGTTAACGAGAGACGGCTCACAGCAACATTACTCAGACCCATAATGATAGCGAAAAAGGAATTCAGATTTTTGTATTCTTTACAGCTGAAACACAAAGGGTCAGGTTTTAAGTTCTATATATCCGTCAGGGCAGAAGTATACATGACAACCTGAAGAGAGCTGAACCCAGGCAGCTAGCATAGATGTGACTGAATTTGGGCAGCCCTGGCCAGCGTGCCTGTGGCACGCCACTTCACCACTGTGTGAGTAATTCACCACACTCTGGAAGCTCCTTTCCCTTCCCTCCTAACATGACCTCCTGCTTCCACTTCACTGGCTGCCAGCTTCTGCAAGGACATTAAAGGAGTCTTTGAAGTTCCTCTCCACCTAGAAACAGTCCTGAAACTGGGCTCAATTCAGTCCCAGGGAATACCAGAAACAGTGGAAGCAACTGGTTTACAACCTCATTTGCAGCAGAACTTGCTGACAGCTTCTGAACAGCTACTGAATGCTGGAAGCTGTCCCTAGACAATCTTCATTGCAGTTTACAAGGGCACTGAGCCTTTTTTAAAGCGAGAAGACCAGCTGTCTAGAGATGCCTGTGTGCCAGTGACCTCTCTCACTATATATGACTTCTAACTAGCACTTGCAGATTCTGGAACCCTTTAGGATGTTTCAGGCAAAGAACTGCCATTTGTTACCAGCATCATTAAAGATGTCCTGGGCAGTAGGAGCTCTAAGTCATGCTTCATCCCTAATGCAAAGGCAAACTTTTGTTATCAATCAGGAAAAACTGGAACATCTAACTGAGTATTATGGAAGACCCAATACACCATATGCAGGACTAGACACAATCTGACAGGAACAGCCCTCACAACTGCTCAGCTGGGACTACATCAGGTGGCTCATTGACTGTCTTGGTTTGGGGAAAGGAAGAGAGAGAACAGAGCCTATATCTCATAAATCTATGTCTCACTAGGTTCCTGCAAATAATTTGCTATTTTTCACAACTGATTTGCCAACATCCAATTTCAGAACCTCACTTGCTGGTTCTTTTGCTGTTTACCAAGAAAACTCATAAGATTCAAGCTATGATACTCAGATAGATTTTTTTTTTATTCATCGCTGAACCTCTTCACTCCTCTGAGGTATCCTCAACTCTGGACTAAATTAGTACAATCATCACATCCTACTGTCTGACTCCATAATTGCCACATCACCCTATTGTTATTCTGTTCTTTCCGTCCCTCCATTTCACCAGACTTGATGTATTGAGTGGGTAAGTCCTTTAGAACTGGGCCTCACCTGTGTCTGCGCTGTGTGAACACTGAGTACGTGAAAAAACGATCTCTCCCATCTGATGGTCTGTCTGTTGGAGACTGCTGCCCCCTCAGATCTTCTCGCAGAGCTGCTCATACCAATTCTCCCACATCAGATTAGGGACAGTGAGCAAGGTTAGCAAAGATAAACTGAAATACTAAAGCCACCCCAACTTATTCTGACTAGAGCAGGTCAGGGAGTGCCTCGTTAGTGGATCTGAGGGGAGATAAGGATGAAAAGCAGCCAGGAAAGGCTGTCAGTGATAACCTCTTCCCGAGGCACAACTAAATCCAAAAAGGGATATCTGTTCACAGCCTGTGACATTGTGAATAAATTGTGGCATGGTAAAAATAATTAGTACCACACAGCAGCAGTGCTCAAACATAGTAGGCAGCTGCAAATGTACATACAATATGTAATTTCAGTGTATCTTTCATTTTAAAAAGGCAAAGTTTTGCCAAATACCCTGCTAAACAATGTAATTTGACAAAGTCCCTGTTAAAATCCATCTAGATGTATGACACTCTACACCAAATATTCTGTAAATTCTACAGGCTCTACACTGAATTGCTTAGTTCCAGATAGAGGACCACTGTAACATAGTAAAACCAGTGCTGCATGGCTCCACTACGTATATGCTACCTGTAAAAAGTCAGAAAGTGGGTCCTCTGAAGTACCACAGTCTGCTCAGAGCAGAGGTCCCTCTGCCTCCCAAAACAGGCAGTATTGGAAAAATCTTCCTATTAGTATGAATTGTGAACACACATATATGCACACAGTCTTGTCTCCAACACAAACACACATGTGGCTAAAATCTCTTGGTACTTACATGAGCATATTAATCTTGGCATTTTCTCTGTAAACACACCCCCTTCAAAAATTTCTTGCAGGCTCCTTGGGTTTATAATATATGCATGTGTATGGAAAGAATGATTTTCAAAAACTGAATGAAAGTGTCTGAGTATAGTGATATACAAGAAGGCTTCTAAATAGCCTGTGGGTCTATCTGCAAAGAGGAAATATATACAAACTGGGTTTGTGGATATCCGTAAGAGTATGTGCAAGTACATCTTAGCAGGCCTTTCTAATACAATTAATATGGGAAGAACTCACTGTAGAGAACATAGGCCGCTTCTCCCCTTTGTTTGAAAGTTTAATTCTACAATGGCTGGAGAAAAGAGATGACCCTGGTAACTCTACATCCCTTCCCAGCAGATGCAAAGGCAACGACTGCTGGAACGGAAAGCACATATGCACAGCACGAGGGGCCAGGACTCGGCCTTGCGCTTGCCTGCACAGACAGCGAGCACACAACACAGGGCGTGTGGGGTGGCAGACACAAAACGACGGGCCTTCTGCGATAGCGTCTGAGCCCCCTGTCACAGAACTGAAACAGGGTTCTCAGTAACAGATATCTTTGAAAATCGGTATGTGTGTGCAAGGAATCTCGTTACCACCAGTCACACCTAAGATTAATAGTGCAGCACTGAGCTGTTCTCCCCAAACCCTTTTCTAATGAGTCTAGTACTTCTAGGTAGGGTAAAGTTCTCCTTAGGTCTCGAGGATCTTCACAAGCAAAACTTCCTCAAAGATATTGCTTCAAGGCCTGGGCCCGCATCTTTTGATCCAATTCCTTGGCTTTTTCTCCCCTCTAACTTTGGTGCACTCTGTGTTTGTTTTACCACATGCTGTAGCACCTGTTGCCATGGCAGCACTGCAAGAGGGCAGCAGCCTGGCAAAACTTCCCAGCGCCTTTCCAGGGGCTGCAATTAAATCTGCCCGCGTCGTTTGTACGGAGGAAAATCTTTTGCTTTGGATTTCTCTGCTTTTAGGAGACAAAGAGGACTCAGCAGAGCAGACCGCTTTTAGCTATTTATTTTTAGCATTGTAGTGATACCAGAAACATGGAAGTAAACAGGAGGTTGTCAAGCTGTTGTAAATAGCATAGGATTAAACCCATGACACTGAGGAACCCACAAGCTAGGGCAGCTTATTAAGGAGATATTTAACTGTAATTTTTCGGATACTTGATTTCAAGTGTTTATGGAAATTACTATTGTATCTTAATTTACCCCATTACAACATTTTCACATTTCATGCCTCTGAGTTTAGAAAAGACCCCGACGAGCCTGTGTGTGGGTGCCACTGCCCTCTCCTGGACAGAGCCCGCCAGACTGGCGGCTTGCCTCCCAGTTCTGCTCTACGGAATGAGATAATGGAATATGCAGTATATATATTTTTAGAAACTGAAGAGGTAAATTCTGTCCCCTGTTCTGAATATAAAGCGGATCCTGCATGCCCACCACTAGAGTTTGAAAATCTTCAGCTTCAATCACCCGTCATCTGAGCAGAGGGCACAAAGCGTTCCCAGAAGGCAGTCGGTACTTGCAGAGCGGGGCCCTTCCCGGTGGAGGGAGGCACACCAATGCGGTGTCGATGTCAACACTGATTTCAGCTATGTGGAATTATTGACTGGGAGGAGGGCAGTATTACAGCTGTAATAATAATCTTTTCCTTCACACAACTGCATTTAACAATGCAAAAAAGTTAAAACTTATGGTTTAACTGCAAGTAATAACTTTGTTCTGTAAGATTGCCTGAAGACCTCTAGTGATAAAGCCCAAAGTCGTAGACAAACACTTAGGTAGTTCCTCACTGAACATCTCAGCAAACTGTTTGTTCAGATGGTGATGAATGTAATAAATACACCATGAACAGGAAAGGAAGGAAGAGGATACCAGTGATAAAAAACTGTAGCTATGCAGGACAGGGGCATGCCCCTGCTCCTTCTGAATTCAGTCACGCCCTTGCCCTTCAGTCCATGATAAGGAGTCAAGGCTGACAGCTTTGGCATGAAGGCTCCTAAGTTTTAATATGAATAAAAGAATAGAAGACAGCAAGAACTGCCTGCTATCCAACCTCAGACCCAGCAGTTCATATTGTTGCATTTTTAAACAAAAGTATTAGAAAAATATACCAAGCAGACAGAAGGTAACATGAACCTCATCATCTCCATATTACATCTTTTTGCTTCCCACTCTCAGTTTCCCACTTGAGGCAATTCTGAGAACAGTTTTCCTGAACAGCACCAGAAATATTGTTCTCAGGAAAATTAAGGCTCAGTTTTGTTAATATTTACTAATTTGTACATTGATGTAATAATGGGATGTAAGGGTCAATGAAGGATTCTCCTAATGAACTGAAATACATTTACTCACAAATTTTGTGTGAAAACACGGCCCTCAGAGATCACAGCTCAAGGAGAAATTGAGAGTAGGACAGGAAAGAATAATATATATTAACAAAGTTCTATACAGCCCTATAAGGAAATGGACAGAATTACCAAATAGAGAACATTTTAAACTCTACTGTGTATGGCTGTCTGAAAATAAAAAAGAAAAATAACAACAGATTTACTATACTGAATCTCAGTTCCAGCTCACAGATGACTGAATACTTACTGGGCTGCTATCTTAATATACTTCTTTAACAGCTGAACACGCTTGCTGAGTTGAGAGCAAAGACAAATCTCAGTGACCACCCAGAACTGAATTTCATTAAATCTTCTTAAAAACAAGTCCAGATTTGCTGTGGTCTTTTTGAAATTGTGCCTTCCAAAAGTGTGATAGATCAATTCCAGCTAGAAAAGATAAAAACAGTTTGGTAAATCTCATCTTTTGGACAGTGGAAAGAGGCTAAGAATGACCAGGTAAGTATCTAACCTGAAACTTGCTCTGCAGTTTACATTTATTGCTGTACAGATGACAAGGATTCAGATTGCAAATCCATTAGACAATAACTGAAGCATACTAAAAACAAAACTACAGACTATGTATAAATAGCTTAATACTTTAAAACATACAAAAGTAATTCAATAAGCAGCACGTGTTCAGGAGAAGTTTAATTTTATTTTTGCATTTTGCGTCTAAAATTAATTGCCTAATACTTTCAAAACTTATAGGTGGCTTTATTGCAGTATCTTTTGAAAATAAAGCTTAGAGAAAGTTTTGCAAATAAGGAACAAACCTACAATGTATAACTAAGCATTTTCTATCAGATTCTAATCTGCTGAATAGATAGATCCTTATACCTCATGCACACAGTTGAAGAGCTCCCAGTCATAAATTGTCATCTGATGTGCTAGGTCTTTAGAGCTCATCAGTTCAAACGTTCCCACTGTACCTGTAGATGGTCCTTCTTGTTCTGGTAATGGTGCCTACAAAATGGTAAAATGGTATAAAAATATTCTAGAAATACTAAATTGCATGATTGGTGCTTTTTTTCACTTTCCTAAGCATGTTTCTAACATTAAAACTGAAATTTGCTTTTAACCACAGTCTGGTGTTAGAAAATGCAAAGCCTTGTGCAAAATCAGTATCCACTATGCACAGGATAGTCAGGAAAATTCTCAGAGCTCTTCAGAGGCACTGTAAGGAAATAAAACAGACTGTTCTCAATGTGTTATTTTTAGCATTGTTCTAAAATTTGAAGCCAGAAATAAATACTTCAATACACGTTGTGCTAACTAAAGCATGTCCGCTTGTTTAGAAGCATAGGTCTTTCCACAAAGCTTTTGTTATAATTTTCCTTTTTCACATACACAAATAACTAGGCCACAAAGCACAAGCCAAATAATTTTGCAAATCACTGATTCTAATGATGAGAATTATTACATCTGCCATATTTCAGAAATCTGCAGTGATTGCAAAATCTTCTGATCATTTAATAAAATAAGCCCCTTTGACAGTACAGGGATGCACTATTTGTGATTGCAAAATTCCTGGCTATACTAATTAAGATTATATGCACACAGTCTTGTGAGAAAGAATCCTGTGAATCCTTTAAATCATTGAAGTATAAAACATTTTTGGAAGACACTTCCATACCACCCAATAAATGAGATATGATCTACAATTTTGCAGACAAGTAAATTTTATATTTAAAGAGAGATCTAAACTTGAGATCAAGTCAGATTTGAAGTAGTCTGTCGTATATATTAGGGTCAAAGTGTCTGAACCAGAGCTGCTAAAATACTTACAAACAACCCTCTTGCTAATTCAAATGCGTTACATCAGTAAAGCCTCCTGTGAACCCGCGTTTTAATTGTTTTGTTTCCAGGAGAGGGCAGTAGAGTTCACTTACAAGTTTCTCGATTTTTCATCGGGTCTTTGTTAGATAATTACAGAGCAGCGAAATGTCAACAGGCTCCTTTCTGAGTACAAATTCAATAGAGTCCGCAAGATTAACAGACCATATTTACACACTGCAATATCAAAAATGAGCTTACTAAGTGAATCCCCTTTTATATAAGAACATTATATTAGCAACAGAAAAAGAACTGACTGGATTAATACATCAAATAATTTTCTCAATAACACACAGGATGTAGAAGCTTTATTTCTGTGTGAGTTCTTGCTTTGTACTCTAGGGAAAACTTGTCTTTCAAATATCATCATAAATACAAACTAATTAAAAATTATTAAACTAAATCATAGGCATTTCTACCTTAAAAGCTCCATCTATAATTTTTAAAATAGTGTATATAAGCAAAGTATTATAAAAAAAAAAAATCAGGACAGCCATCAATCTTATAGCAGCGTGCAGATTCCTCTGAATTGGGATTTGCACAAACACATAATTGCTTTAGTGCAAAACAGAGTATGAATTAGAAGTACAGCAGTTTTGTGCAAAAAATCCTCATTTGTGGAAATCTGTGGAAAGAGAATTGCCATAGACTGAAAGACAGTTTTTTTTCCCTATTTGGAGACAAACACAACATAGCTGTTACCATAACAAACACATATTTTCCAAGGCTAGGAAAGAAGCGCTTAGATGGAAAAACATTGCATATTTGAAAATTCATCTAACCCAGAATAATTTTCACATGGGAACTGCCAACTGTAATGTGAATAAATGTACATGCACAGGCAGCAGCCAGAAATTGGAATGTGAAAGGATTAAACTGGGAAGGAGGTAAGGTTGTAACATTATTTGATTTGTTTATACCTCTCTGAAAAAATGCAGCTGATAAAGGGATGTATTCTGTTATGCAGTGCCGCAAGCCTTTTCAAAGGTGCTGAGTGTTCCTCCTTGATCCCTACTGAAGTCAGTCCAGTTAATGAAAACTAGCACATTGCAGCCCTGTATCTTAGAGCTCCCTGTACCATTTCAAGTACTTGATCCATGGTAAAAAGCACAGGGGAAAAGGCACAGAAAGTCATGACAATTTTCTGCCAAAGGTATGTCTACACAAACAATGCAGAGCCATATAAAAGTATCCAGTGTAGTTGTACTGACACAACACCCCTGCTTTAGAGTAGTATGCCCCATGAGGGTATCTACTTGGCAGGATTAATTAACCTTAAGGGAACACCAGAATTTAATAAACCGAACAAGAGGTATCTCTGCATGGAACTACAGTATGCTGGATGTGCATTCCTTGGTTACTAAATGGAAAGCAGCAGCAAAGCACGGATTTTACCATATCTATAAAAGAAATCAGGCGTACATACTAAGTGGCTTGTTAAAAGCATACAAGAGGCTGAAACAAGGCTAGGAGTAATAGAGTTCATGCTGACATGACTTGGCAATGACATTTGTTTTTAATGAAATAAAGAGAACAAAAAGTACAGTCAAATCAAACTCTATAAAAGCAGACCCCATGGAGATCATTAGAATTACTGTATAAACTGCAAGTACTTATGAACAACTCTACTTCAGAAAAAACAGACTTTCTACCAGGAATATTTTCTGTGATTCTACTTAGCATCATCTGAGATTTTGACACAGTATTTTGTGGGTCTGAGAAATAAAAGATTTTAAGGAATTTGCTGTTGCAGTCAAGTTTCCAGAATACTTTAACCGGTAACTTCTATCTTCAAGATTATATCCCTGTGGTCTTGAGGAGATAATTATGTAATCAGGAATTACTGCATGTCTTAGTGACAGTACTCAGCTCTTCCTACATGCTCAGTGTGACACAGAGAATACTAGGATCAAGTGCTGTCATGTGGATCATATGGATTTCTGCTTTAGTTTATGAAATTACAACATTACCGTGTTTTAATTTCAGGGCTCATCCCATAGCACTGTGACAAGCCCTTTGTTGTGAATGTTTCCACTCGTCTTTACCTAAAACACTGATAATGCAAAAAGGATCAAGCGTTCAAATAAACTGAAGAATTGGACTTTCTGAGAACTGCATACATACATACCAATGAATCGAACTGATCACGTGGGCAAGCAAACAGCCGTCCATTAACACTGAGAGTTGTAAACACTGAAACATCATGAGGTTTGAGCACAACTTTTTCTGTAAACATGAAACCAAAGATTGTTTATTATATATACAATTTACAGCAGGACTGATCCAACAGCTGCACAGATCACCCTTCTGGGAACAAATTTGACACAGTAAACCAATGTCCAGGATACAAAATAGATAATAACAAGGTCCTCTACATTGAAGAAATGTGACAGCAAGCTCAGCTGAAACCAGTCTCCTACAGAACTGGCATACAGAACTAGAATCCCAGGCCCAAACTGTACAGACAGATCAAGAAGCCTGTGCTGACATCTCTAGAAACTACCTGCAAAATTTCAGCCATAAACAGGGACTCCTTTCATTCTTCTCTGAGCTGTAAGCATTTGGAGAGCTGTTCTTAACAGAAATTGCCCTGGAAGACAGCAACTGTGTAAGGAGGTGATGAAATGCAACTGTATTAAAATCTCATTACAGCAGTTCTAAAAAAGCATCACATCACAGGTAAAGATTATGAAGTAACTTACAAAACAGTCTCTTCCAGCATGTGCTGGCTGTCAGCAAATCTGACAATAAAAAATTGCTGCAACTGCAAAAAATAGAGCCGCCTGGTGTCAGTTCTCAGGAAGTGAACCATTTTTGGCAGGCATCACTGTGTGCAAAAATGCCTTCCAACAAAGCTCTCATTAGCTCTGTGTGTGACCACACAGTCATACACAATCAGAGCACTTCAGCAACACCAATTCTCCAGCAGAATTCACCTTGCAGCTACTTTCCCATTTCCACAGCCTGTAGTCGGGGGCTGGCTCCTAGGTCAGTGGGCCTGGCACTGAGTTGCTCAGTAGGGGTTTGCATGGGCAGAGAGCAAAGAATGGTAGTGACCACTACTGGAATGTCTGCACTGCAGTGTTTTCTGCTGTTGCTGATTCATATGTCTAGCCTGGCACTATCCCAACTTACCTCCTATTTCTGTTGTTAAAAAACTCTTACAAATCTTACAGTGAAGGAAATTTGGGGTAGATCTGCTCTGTAACATGCAGATACACAAGCTTCTCCATTTTTCCTGTCTCCCATACGAGCTCCAGTCTGTGCCTGCAGTAGGGGAAGGACTTGCCTCTAAGACAGAACCTGTGTACCAGCCAAACATGCACATGGATATAAAAACCTTGATAGAATTTGTCTTTCAATCTCTCCCAACATTCTGCTTCACTGTAAGTGAGAAGTGTTTAAGATGATGCAAATACAGTACCTCCTCCTGAACTCATCTTTACTATGATGAGGCCTTCTCCAGAACCCAGTTTATCTGCTACTGCGCTGATCACTTCCTTCACAGAGGAAGACACTGGCACCCGGATAGTGGTATAGGTTTGGTCTATGCAGTACACCTTAAACAGAACTAAAGAAAAAAAGATTGTGCTGTGTATGCCAAGTTTAACAACCGCAGAGACTTTACTGTACAAATTACTTTCACTTCAGGAACCACTCCAAATGAAACAAATAAAGCAACAATAAATCACTACAGTTTTGATAGCTGACCATTCCCTAGATGTTCTACAGTTTCCAGTACAGAAATCTCTCACTTCCCAGAGCTTTTAGTAAACCATGAAGTACTAGTGTTTCAGTATTGCTTCATTATTTATGGATGACAATTTAATCTGGCACTTTGTTATGTTCCAGACATTGTAATATTTGAAATCAACACGTCTTTTCAAGAGTCAGGAAAATTCTCTTACTTACAAGAAAATAATTTTTGTATTTACAAAATATATTTGAAAATAGTTTTGGTTACAATCAGAACCTAAATCAAACTGTGTTGCAACCTGGTTTTTACAAGCAAGTATATAATTGCTGAATCAAGAATGTTGTAGATGATGAAGAAAAGTACCCTAAGAATACACTTGACTGTACAGTACAAATTGTTTCACAGAGTAATACATAAACCCCAGCCTCTCACTGCCAGTATGATAGTACATTAGCATGCAAAAAGCAAGGCAGCCCAAAGTGACATGAAGTGAAGACAGAAGAAGTGAGCAAAATACTCCTTCAGCTCAGCTGTCAAGCCAAGCCAAACAGCCCTAGAGGTTATAGCCAGCCATGGATTTTCAGTGTTCAGCATGCTGCCTGCCCTACAAATAAGAAAGGTGCAGCCATACAAAAGGGGCAGTTACTGCCTGTCCACACAGACACATGAAGTAGTACTTCCCGGGCAGCAGCAACTGTTTTGCTCTTTATAGACCTAAAAGAAACACTGATATGGACAACAGAAACTGCATGCCTGGCAGGTTGTCTGCTGTGGGTATGCAGTTACTTTCAGCTTTTGAAATGGCTCTTCTGTTGGTTTGATTTATGCCAACAGATTTCTCAGCTATATGACCTTGCATTTGTTCCCTTATTTTTACTGTTTTTCACTAGCAAGAGCTATTCTTTAAAATCAAGCACCCTGAAGCAGCAGCTGTTTTCTGTGATGAAGGTGCACCAAAACAACCACTGACAGACTGGTCCTAGCAGTTGCAAAGAAATCCTCAGATTTATGAGTTTTAAGGGGTGTGTATCTTTGTTTATAATGAACAGATCTCATCAGCAGAGCTCAGGATTTTGTTCACATAGCTGAGATTTAACCTGCCTGAAGTAAAGGACAATGTGAAAAGCCAGTACAACTGAAAATGATATTCTGATACAACTGTAAATTTTACCTTAATCTCTTCAGAGAATCAAACAACAACTACTGGGAAAACCAGCAGATTTTGTTTTCTAGGCTGTGTGCTACAGGGCAGAGATCCATGGCATGATTACATCCTCCACTCCTTTCTCACAAAGGAACAGCTATACATGTTAGCTCAAACTATGCAGGGGAGACAGAGGCTCAAATATGACCTTCAACACCCACTATTTATTACACTGCCGTTACCTGCATGGACACTGTACTGGTTCTTACCTGTTTTTTTCATTCTCTATTTTAAAGGTTTTTACATCTTCCTCTGAGGAAACACAGTGTTTGATAGCACCAGTAACAAAGGGAAAAGACCAGGAGCACTTCAAATCAATGATGGAGAATGTTCAGCTAGCAAAACCAGAGTTTGCTTCAGGCCAGGCTTCAAAACTGTAGGTAAGTACTTTTGTTTATTTTTAGACCATTTTTTTTTAGAGAGACAAACTTTCTGCACATCTTAGTGGCTCAAGAAAACTTTGCAGAGAAAGAACTCACCTTCGTCGCTGCCCCTGATAGGCTGGCGTTTCTGTGCTCTGTCATCACTTGTGTTGAACAGCTGCAGAAGAACTTTGTGCTGAAAATGAATCATCAGGATTCACATTAATGCAAAAGAAACATTATGGGGGAGACATGAGCTACAACAGATCTCTTATTAATGGCAGGAAAAAGTAGCAATACAAAATTTGACACAATGTTTAAAGCTATTTCTCAATGTGTTGTTTTAATATATCCATGATTACTAAAGAGAACATGCTTATGCATTTGCTGTGCTAAGCTTTTACTTTAGAAAATGGACAAATAAATTACCTTACCTTCTTTTGTGGTGCTTTAGGTTCTTCAGAACTATAAAAAGGTAAAGCATAGAATATATAATTAAATATTACTTGGAAGATTTTGTGTACAAAATCACCTAAAAAACATGGACCACTTGTTGATATTGTAGTTTGACACACTCATGTTTGCATATACGAAAAGACTAGATGATACTATAGTTAATCTATGACCAAGGCAGGGAAAATACTATACAAAGTCCATGTAACCATGAAATAAGCACCCAGTTTAGTTTCAATGGTGTGTACATAATTTCTTATTCCTTCTGTCAACCTTTTAATGAGAGTTTGGTGTTTGCAAGAATGATGTGGAAAGAGAGGGCGACAGACATTCATCCAAACAAGCTTCCATGCAAACACTCAGTCTTGTATGACTGAGTGACATTTGTAGAGTGGATAGTTAATTGATAAAGCAATAAAGTTTCTTCATCTATTTATTGAGAAAAAGGGCAGGGGGAGGAAAGAAGGAAAAACTGTGCTTACACTTGCTTTACAATTCTCTCTAGCTCTGGAAGTTGCTCCTTTAGTGCTGCAATCATTCTAGTATCATCTGATACAGATACATAAAATTCCTGTAAATGATACATAATAGTCTTTAAATAACTATAGGGGTAAATGAGCAGTACTCAGGATAGAGGATTATGAGATGACATTTGATAGCTTAATGATTATAAAGAATGATAATCTGCATAGAGGAACACATGCTGGGCCCAACCCTCTATTACTTCTACTTGTTTATTTCCAGCTGATTTAAAGCCAGAGTTACACATGCAGAAGGGAAGCCTGATGAGGCTCCTTAGCTCACTGTGTAACCACTGACTGCTTGTGCAAAAACTGCGTTTTCAGATTATCAAGGACAAAGACCATCAAATTCACAAATAATCTAGCACAACAGGTTTTTTTTTACCCACTGCTGTTGTAGTCTTTAGTGGTTCATTTGCTACCGGGTTGTTGACTCTCTGCTACTCCAGTCCGCTATGGTATTACCCTCTTTTATACCCTACTCAAACCTCTACCTGCCCCACCTACATAAAACTGTCACAAAGATGGATCTATGTGCTTGCAGCTAATAATTGTTCTTTAACTTCTGGACTAGTGAAAGACATTACAACTGCCTCCGAAACTTGTCTATTATGAAAAGCTTTCCCACGTGGGCTTGCTGTATGTCTGTCATACTTAAAGCCCCTCTCTATTACCCTCTGCTCTTATCTTAGATTCAGTTTTAAGATCTTCGGGGCAAGAACCTTCCTTCAGCCAGTTCCATATACACCATGTATAGTAATAATGGCAATCATGACAACTTAATATGACATTGGCAGTGCATCTTATCTTAGAAATACAAGGATATGGCACCTGCCACAAAGACCTTACATCCAATGTCTGAGGAATTAAATGATTTCAGGGTATCAGAAGGGTTCTGAAGACAAAAGATCTTAAGTTCCAATAGCTGCAGTACAGCTTTCATTCAAATAGAAAGGAGTTTTGGTTTTGTAGAGTAAAAACCCTCCAGCTCCTTCTTGGCACACATCAGGCAGGCATAAACAGCCTCCCAGTTCAACCTGTAGAGAACTCTGAACTATTCACAAGAAAATACTAAAAAAAGCAAATTCATGTATTGCTATAAAGCAATCTAACCATGCAGTGCTTTGAAAGGGGTCTGCAACTCCAGCAGGTATTTTCCGAGGTCCAGAGGTTGGCAATGGTTCAGGCACTGTTATAGTGCGTATACTGTCTGCAGCTAAACCCGAGAAAACAGAGTTGTGAGTTTGCACTTTAAAATGACCTACTTCTCTTTAGTTCAAAACAGAATTCTACAGACTGGGAACAGGCTTTCAAGCTTATCTTGCTTGGTAGGCACTTTTCAGTACAATGATACAACAATTTCTTTATACCTCCAAAAAGGCCATTGCTGCTTCATCTTCTTGTAGTAAATCTCCATATAAAGCAGCCCACTGCAGAACCAGTCGAATGACTCGCCTTTTATTGTTGAGGGCATAATCCATTTTCTCCTGCTCTGTACCCTGGGAAGGCTGGGCATGATAGGTGCCACAGTGTCAAGGAAAATGCTCAGTGACTGAAAATATCAAAACCAGTATGAATTCACAAATAACTGGCTTCCAACAAACCATTTTCACGGTGTTCAAACATAACTTTCCAATACATACTTTTGATTTCTGACTGCCACTAGCATAAAGACTTGTGAACCTTTCACGTTCATAGTAAAAGGTAAAATGATAGTGAATTCTCTAAAGAGCACGGGAATGATCACAATCCCACCACAGAGACAGTTGCTGTAGGGAACAGAACAGAAATGACACTTGGAACAACAGAGAAGAGGATTAACCGTGGAGACTGAAGAAGGGTATTTCTCCTTGTTCTTCTTTGGAGTCAACTGAAGAAAACGAAAAATGTCATTTTGTGTTTATTAACAATTCCAATCTTCTATTTGTGAGGAAGACTACTGGACTGAAGCACCAGTGTTACTCTTTTTATTTTTAGAAGTTACTTAACCCAAGGTGAACCTCAGTCCCCTTATGGTAGGGGGCCCTGGAAATTGGCAGCCTAAACTGACTATAGAGACATGGGGTAAAATAATAAATTTGGTAGCTGCCTTATTTTACATATGAGGAAATCAGAAGTTTCCAGTCTATCAAAGAAAGTGTATTTGGGACACAGTCCTTTGTGATTGTTAGTTTGTGATAAACAGTAAGAAAAAATGGGAAAGATTTCATTGACCTTTTTAATGATGAAGTGTGAACATCACAAAAATATGCAAATAGCAAAAAGGCCAAAAGTAACATTTACTGAAAAGAAGAAACCAAGAAAAAAAATAAAGCCACAATGGGCAATAAACTGAGATAATTTCAGCCTTTAACCTATGCAAAAATGAAGAAGAATCCCCAGCAGAAACAGGGTATGACAATTTGTGTGTCTGCTTCTCACTGATCAGAGGTTAACAATATATATTTAAACTGTTTCCCTATAAACTGATGGCCGAATGTGAAGTAAGGGCTGAATGAATGCAGTTACATCTTCAATTTTTCTCCCTGGATACCAAAATCCTGATCTGGATTGTCATGAATAACACTATTCCCAATTACATAGCAAAATTTAATATTAAAATACTGACACTCTCACTCACAGAGAAGACCAGCATCCTTTCAAGGAGTACTTCCAGTTGTTCTAACAAAATATTTTAAAATATTAATTAGAAAAATTAAAATACTAATTACAAATCCAAATTATCTAACATATTTATTTTAACTTTCTCATTTAGAAGCATTTCTCTAACAAATACTAATAAAAGATAATGGAAAAAAATTTCTATTAACTCACACTCACTCAAATGATCCTCATGCCCAAAACCCCTACAGAGATTTGCATGCTACAAGGGTTACTGAGGCACTCATTTACCTGACAAACTTTTAGAAATTCTGCATTTTAATTCCATTCATAAAATGTTTAAAATTAGTAGAGAACTAAACATGTCAGTATATTTATGGGAGTAAATAAGTCAAAGGGTCGTAAGAAGTAAATAATATATTGTAAGTTATGTGCTCTAATGTCTCAAGAAGCAAGTTTAGCATTGTACTGAGTCATTTTTCTCACACCACTTTTACCTTTCAAACACTGTAATTATTTCATGTATTTTTACTTTCTTATTAACTGACTCACCACAGGTTCTTGTAATTTTTCTATATTTTTACTGCTCATTTATATTAATTGCTCTTTTATTAACAATATCACATGGAAAGTTAGTGAAGGGTTGTCTCATTTTTATGGGATGTACAGGATGCTGCTTCACTGCAGACTGCAATCAGAAGTAAAATAACATGTATACTTGCAACAGGTGTCACATAATTGTAAAAGATTTATCAACACCAACATAGTTAGAGTTCAATATGTAAACTTCTAATTATGTCTGGCATATGCTATGAAATGGAAGCAATTCTGAAGTCTGTTCTTCCCTCCGTGGGAACACCTAACCATACCAGGAGCTGTGCAAAATCAGCACCCATTACTACAGCAGAATGCAAGCTATTTTGCTGGTGTGATGGTAAAGGAGGTTCACAAAACTTTCATACAGAAACGTGCTAAAGGACTATCATCTACAGAGAACAAAAGAGGAGTTTGTATTTCATAAGTATTTAGACAGTTGTCCTCTAAAGAAGCATACTACTCACACACCCACACACCTGCACTATCCAAGTGCACTTTTGGAGATGCTACTCTACCTCAAGTTTTCTTTTGGGCTTTGCCCTGCCTCCCTCTGAACAAGCTGTAGCTCTGAGAATTTGTTCATTTCCATCCTTGTGAAGAAAAGAAAGAAACAGGGGCCTTGGTCCAACAGAAAGGACCGATGTCCTGATCCAGGGCAGTGGAACATACCCTTTGCTTCCCTATAAAAAAGAAGTATGTGATTTTTTTTAATATTGCAGGAATCATGTACTTTAATCACGAAAAAAGAGTGGTCTGCCAAGGGACAGAACAGTAGAAGCACCAAATCCACAGCAAGCAATGATGTTACTTAGCCAAAATGGTGCACCCATGCACTCCTTTCAGGATTAAAGAATTTACAGATGTCAAAATGCTGCTGTAAAACAAGTGAAACCCCAAATAATTTATACCCTGTGCTATGCTTGAAAGCACTACAGTGGTCTAGCTCTACTCATATTTGCATGTTGCCAGGTAAAATAGTATCCTAAGTGGGTGTAGGAAAATAGGCTTGTATTGATGCAAAATTGGGAGCTGGAGCAAAAACAGTGTCTCTGACTGAATCACCTTTCTTTTTCTTTTTCTGATTTCCTCACTGAGCATACCTAATCTCTCTTTAGTCTCACAGCACCAGCTAACATTTTTGTAGAGTGATTTTGCTCAGAAAAGATGAGCTTTGTTAGCAACCTTTCAACTCTAACAATAAATTTCAGTGGCACAATCAACAGAGCACAGTTTGATTTTCCGTACTCAGAATAGACCAAAGAAACAATAATTTAGCTCTAGGAAAAGCTGACACTAAAGCAGGGAGATACCAGTTACTTCCAGCACTCCTCTTCCTCCTCTCTGAAAATAATTAGGATGATACCTGCCATGGCCACTTAAGACCACAGTCTTAGCCTCCTCTCCAAGACAGATTTCATCACAAGTGAACTTGTATACGTAAGTGACACTATCACTTTGATCTTCAGAAAAGCTTTTCCCCTATAAACAATGAGGTACATTTTGCTTATGCGTCTGATTTTCCCAGTTATTGGATATTGGAGGCATACTATTATAACTGAGGATAGACAAACCTGAGTCTCAGATGGACTGGTTGAATAATATGAGCTAGATAAATCAGAAAAAAAAAAAAGCACATAAAAAGCGTTGCCCTTTTCTTCCCCTCTCAGAGCTGTCAGCAACAGCATTTAATACTTTTGATCTCCAAAACTACGTGGGTTTGGAAAATGTGTTTGTTTCAGGTGTACGAACAATCTTCTACAGACCAGTTTTATGGGTCCAAAGGTTTTCAAAACAATTACTGTCCTTGCTAGGAGTAACACAAATGGATTCTCAAGCTTGTCAGACAAGGACGTATTTTGTGGTTTCAGGGTGTTAGCTTTCCCAGATGTCACTCGCCCTGCTGAGCTTCAAGGAAAGCACATTTTTACACCAATCTGATTCTGAAAAAATAAATAGGGAATTGAAGTTATTATACCCCTGTCAGAATTCTATAAACCAGAAAACATTATATGTTTATTTAATGCTCCCAGTCACCTGATAGCTTCAAGTCACTGGGCACAAGGAAAACTCTCAGTGAACAACAGCTCCCCAGACTAAATGATCTGCTAGTAACTGACTGATGGACATTTCACAGACTTCTGTAAAACATGCAGATAGTACGAGAATCATCTCTAGCTCTTAATGCTATCCACTGTAAGCTTTAATCTCCTAGGTATTTGCATGCAAGTTTCTTGCAGTTTGTGAACATTTGCTACAGACTTTTATTATAGATAATTATTATTATTTTTATACATAACTATTATGACAGAATCTAGGAACTACTTACTCATTATTCTACTAGTTTAGATACCCTTTTGCTTGAGGCAGTTTGCAGCTTGTAATCTATAAAGGGGACCACTGAAATCACCAAAACATAATGACCTTAGTTAAAATCTAGAAGCTGTTGTCCAGCAAAACCCAAGACAGACAGAAAGGATACAGGAAGGGTAATCCAAATTTTATGTAATTTCACTTATCTGGTGGAGGAACAGTACATTTCTTTTCCTTGGAATAGTAATCAGCACAATAAAGAGACAGTTTTCATGTTCCGGGACTGTATCTCATCATGGGTATACACTAACCATTTCAGAGTTGTTGCGCTATGCACAGCTGTTAGTCAGACACTGAGAACCTACCCACAAGGCACAGCCTCCATGAAACATGATGTAATTCTTGAAAGAGGAAAGCTTCAGTCTCATCACCGATAGGGATAGCTGCTAAAGGGATGTAACTTTTCCCTTACAAAAGGATATTGTGCCATCAAGGCTGGACAGAGCTGACTATTTGGCATAAAAACACAGTGCATCATAATAAAATCACTTAAAACAGAATCTGTGAAAAGAGAAGAAAGAAACAGTCAATTAAGCCCCTGCAAACAGCTTGGGGATCACAAGGACGAGTTTCCTTTCAGATAAAATATCTTATTAGCCCTCTGCAGATAATAAAGAGGTCTTTCTGCACTTTGTAGGTATTAAGTATCAAAATGGGGTATGAACAAATATGAGCTGAAATATTAAGCTTTTATTCTTGTCTGCATTAATTTGATTGCACTTATGTTAACAGGCATTTGCCTGTGTCAAAGGGAAATCTGGCACAGCAAAAAAATGCAAACATCTGTGCTAAAGTGAAGTATTTGGATATACTTCTCTACAAGTGTATAAATCTTAGCATACCCTGCCACACATGGGTACCTAAGAAGTGCTGCTGCATGTGGCTTTAGGGAACTACAATTCCAGACAGCACATTTAGTATATACTACACCGCAGAAGGCAAATCATTTAATTCTTTGCTGATTTCCTAGCAATGAGCAGAAGGCCTAAAAGAGGCAAATGGATACTCAAATTTCTGGTTTTATTTTGATGCAAAAGTATCACAGCTGCTACACGTATATTAAAACATCTATGAATAATATGATTGACATTTTCTCTATCAAAAAATAGCAAGCTATTTTTTCCGTTAAAATGATCTGTGGTAGTGCTGGTGTAAATCCCAGTTTGCCTTATCTTTGTTTTTGTGCCAACAAGAAGGTTTTATAAAGCCTGGCTGCAGAGGCCAGAATAAGTTTGGCAGTAAGAATAAATTTTATTTTACTTTTAAACTATGCAAGTGTTATATGGAATCACTGAGAAACAATAAATACAATACCCTGGGGTATCACTTCTACAGTGTGACTTTTGAGACAAGAGAAACATTTAAAAACCCTGAAAGTAAGGGATGTAAGAAAAAATATGATGAGTTAACTGTGTGATGTAATATTACATCATTGCTTCCACTGTAATTCATATATGAATACATCCTTTAGTTGACAAGACTCACCTCTGGAAGGGTGAGACTTTTTCTTTGCATAATATCCAGAACAAAGTGGATTTTAATTGTTCTTAAATTAAAGGAGTGCATAAACTAAAAATTTTATTTGCCATCACTCTGAGCTTCTATATCCTAAAAATAGCTTTGCTTGTGAATTGTGTCATTTTGTACCCCAGTAGGATATAGGTATTAACTTGCCATTGGATGTTTGGGAGAAAAGTTTTAAAAGATTTAAAAAATAATTTTATTTAGAAAAATGTATAATACATGCATACTATGAACAGTAAACTTGTGATTATGTATCTTGCAAGCTTAAAGAACAACATTCTGCTTGTAATCCCAATAAACAGGTATCTATGAAAAGGATAATTTTTATTCTTAAAAGTGGTCCAAACACACACTGTAAAAGGATTTCTGTAATCTTTCAATTCTTCCACCATTGATGGACCACTATATAGGTTTCTCCAATACTATGAGGTCCAGTTAACAGATTAACTGGATTTAAGAACACCTTTGAATATATACTTCTTAGACATGTGTAATATAAAAAGTACTTGCTAAAGAACTTGCTAAAGTGATGTTACATAGCTTAATATAAAAGTTGCTACATTACTTTATCATAATTAGGAGAAATTTTTTGTTTCTGACTCATTTTAAAAATAAAAATACTTACTAATAGTAAGTCAGCAAATATCTATATCCCTAGATGCAAATTCTCTGTTCTCTTTACACTAATGAAAAGCAGCCTATTAAATGCAGCTGCAGCAACCTGCATTCTTGGGACTTGGCCCATGATGTGCTGAGTTCTTCTCTTTTGAGTAACAATTCTTTCCCTGCATATGGGAAAGTATCACAAACAAGTAATTTAAATTGTGATACTTTAAATGTGATGTGGATATGAAAATTTGGGAATACTTACACTAACAGAATGCAACAGCTGGAGGCATCAAGCTAATTCACAGTATTAAGTGACATCCAGAACAAGAAGTATGAGTACCATTATCATCTGGTGATAATGCATGCTCTGTCCTGGCTTTATAGCTGTGCCTAATTAAAGTCACAACTAGTGGTCTGGCACCTTTTGAGATTTTGCTGCTCTACTCTGAACTGAAAGTACAAATACAATAGAGTGGACTAGAAGGAGTGGATTGTTATCTTTAATTCCAGAATACCTAGGCTTTCTTGGGGTTGTTTCAGAGCAGTGGATAGTTCTTATTCTGGGAAAAAATACCACTAGCTGCTTTTCAAAGTATCACATTGTGGTGTTCCCCCAGCAAGGCCATCTCATGCAGTAATAATAACACAGCCTTTGGCACGTAGATACCTGTTGCTTCATTTAAAGTAGCTTCAAGGCGCATAGTTTCTAGAAAGTGCTCTAAAATTTTCTCTGGAGTTCCTGACATCACAATATACCTAAGGGAGGGAAAGGAGCAGTTAGTGTCTCATGGGCAAAAGAGCTAATCAAGAAACAGTTGTGTACCAGTGAGAAGACCAGGACTGATCAGTGCCAGAGTACAAATACCTGCTCTGACCAGAATGTCTGTGTGGCTTAGGACAAACCCACTCACAAACTCCCTGTAAAATGGGCACAATAACACTCTCCATCCTACCCAGGGAGTGTGAGATAACAGACGGCCCTCTCCCCACACCAGTACTCCAGTGTAACACCACCAGAGTTACATCATAATCAGCAGAGCTGCACTGGTGCAAACCTATGGAAGTGAAATCAGAAATGCTTCTCCACGGAGAATAAATACCTCAGTAATGATAGCAATTCGCAGTCATTAGAGGGTCTTAAAAGACTTACTGTGAGCATGAAATGAGAACTGGTATGTATCAGTGTCAGAGGAAGGAAAGAATTTCCTTCGGCATCACTGACAGGGGTTGGTCTGAGAAGATGGGGGCAGATAATGAAATAGTACACTGTATCTTCAAATTTGTGCAATGCCTTAGATAGCTGAAGAAAGTAAGTTTTTCAAGTGGATAAATTTAGGATTGTACCATTTTCTGGAGTAAATTTAGGGAGGTGAGAGGACTAGTGCAATAGTAATTTTTTTCCGCTTCATGCAAACCCAAGATTTTAAGTACCAGCAGAATATCATAGGATATTGCTAAACTTGTCCTGTCGTTTTCTTTTCCTTTCCTTGCAGATCAGACTTTTTAATCTTTCCCTCCATTCTTTCAATCTTTGCATCTTTTTTTCCTTTCTTTTTTTTCGAATCCAACTGATAAAGTATGAAACTTAAAAAAAAAAAAAAAAAGGAAAAGAAAGAAAAAACCCCGAGAAGTGAAGATACTCTGCTCCTGCTGAGAAATAAGTGGTGGAGCTGAGCTCCTGGGAGCTCCTCCTCACTTTGAGCGCTGACCGTCACAGTTCTTTTACCTGCCAACCCCTTTGGAAGAACTGTATTGATGTCCCAAGAACACAAACACTTGTTAAGCCAGTGCACATTCTCGCAGAGATACTAACCAAGTGTCTAAGTGAGTGAAGCAGAGAAATCACAGGTTGCTGTAGTCTGAATATGAAAGTGAAAATGAACAGTGAAGTGACTTGCAGGGCTGCTGAATTCATCCCGCATGAGTGTGATCACCCATAAAGAGTTAGATCTTGGGAGTGAGAACTTCAGAGCTAGTCCTCTGAAACGAAACTGTCACTGTTTGAAAGCATGGCTCAGGGAGCTACGTAGGAGCTATGCCTCCTCAGTATAGGAGGCAGTAGAATCCAGACTGCAGCTGAGAGGATCTGCTCCCAGTGTGATGTTTTCTCCAAGACTAAGATGAAGAAAATTAGTTTCTTGGTTGACTGGGTATCTTGGGGAACAACTTTGGGATGCAGAACATTTCTCTAGTGCAAATGCTTAGGGAGCAAAGCCCAAAGGGATATCAGAGACGGAAGCTACCCAATTAAGGGCAAAGCAGCAAGCTTTTAAGAAGAGGTCCTTGTTAAGCTTCTCTTTTGGGCACAGTGATTTTCCAAAGTACTGAACACTCAACTAACATGCTCCAGTAGCACATTCTGGAAATCAAAACACATCAGTAACTTTGATTTGGACTCCCAAGCATAAATGTAGCCACTTACTCTATTTACTAACAAAAGAAACGAAAGAAATGTCATCTTCAAAACCAGTGAACTCTAAATATTTTAAACAAAAAGACACTGCCAACACATTATTAACAAAGTAATCTGACTTCTGAAAAGCAGAGAGTGAACTTTCAGGGTAGATTCCTCTTTCATGTAGCTTATGTCTGTCATTGTTATCAGCAAAAGCTCCCTTGCTGGCATATCAATAGTACCCAAAAGCTGACCAAATGCATAAAATATTTTAGAGAAATTAAATTCTGCGATTTACCTGAAAATATTCCTGGAATGTAAGCTCTAAAATACAGCCTAACTTAAACAGGGACCATAAATGTCTAGCTATTTTCACCAAATTCTGAGCAAGAAAATGTTAAGTAATACAAATAATGCTGGTGCAAAGAGTTTGCAAGGAAGGTAGTGTCTGAAATATGTTTAAATGAAGCTTTCACTTTTGAAAGCATGAAAAATATATCAGACCCAAGAAAATGGATTTAAAGCTATGACCAAGTTGCTGTGCATTGCAGCTGCTCATGCAAATCCACTAGCTGCAGTCAAGTTTCCCTCATTTAGACAAAGAAAAATTTATTGTAAGAGTACATGTTTTCCTGGTAGCATAGTTTGTTTTTCTAATAGATTAAGTGAAAGATGAAATGGCAGCTTCTGAAATATGTGAAACGTGTATATGAAATGCAAGGAATGGTTTATTCAACCCTCACAGATCTTTACAGATCTTTACATTCAGTTATGCAGATAAAATAGGTATATGAAATTCCAGATCAGATAAAAACTATACCCAAAATATCTCACAGTAAATTATCTCTTTCTTTGAGAAAAGGTAAGGTGCAGGGCAAAGGATTCAAAACTTCTTGATGCTTATTTTGTTGGAGTTGTTCAAGCGTTTCTGAAGAAAATTGTGCATCAATTTGCAAGTAACACATTTACAAAGCCTTTAGGGGCTTTACCAACATTTGGAATGATAAAAGCCTCGCTCTACTCTTATCACAGTAGTATCTAAACAGAATTGTACTTTTTCCCTTTAAGTAAGAAAGTGAAGAAAATATAATGAATATTGTTATTACAGTGCAAACCTATTCCGGAAGGTAAGCTGTGCAACGTTCATTGCATGAGATCTTTGCTTTTTATATAAATTGTACCTAGCAAAGTCTTACTAGAATCCAGAGCTTAAAATCCAAAATGAAAATATCTGTACTTAACAGTAAAACAATGTATTTTCCTCACGTCTTTTACACAGTGGCTTATCTTAATAAGGTTTCAGCATTCTCCGTGTGCAGTCTATTTAGAAGCTATTACATGAGATAAGTATTTACAGTGAGATCTTTAGAGAATTATTGTGTAAAGACATAAAACTGGTGTGCTGCTGGAAATGGATATATTATCCAGTACAGAGCATGTGATCAGTTGATGATTAAAAAAAAGAAAACTTCATATGCACTGCATTCTTCCCTAGAACAGGGGAACATGCTATTGTTTGGATAATAATACCATATGAAAAGGTTAATCATTGTCTGACATTTGCACTATTGAATGAAAACATACTTGTGCTGAGGCTGTGAATTTCCTTGATTAGAAACTCTGTTTCCTGCTGGGATCTTCTCCAACACCAAGACATCTTGGTCATGTTCTTTGAGTCTTACTGTATTTGCTTCCACATCCTGTAAGACAAGTTACTTTTAATAAAGTAATTGCACCTGATTTGGCTGATTAGTTACTCTGAAAAAGTGCATGACTTTCAAACACAAAAGACTCTGGGGTTGATTCTCTCCCCCTGTATTTATCTATCTTTATTCTGCTTTTCTCACAGGCAGAATCAAGAGGGACGCACTGGCACTGGGGAAAGAAGCAGAGAATTGTGGGAGGGACTACAGCAAGAACCATGTGAAAAAAAAAAGTTTGCCAAAAAACGGAGTCCCTACCCCAAACTTCCCATATGTAATGCAGTCTCTATCCCCACTTATATATGAACATTATTATCTATAATCTGACCTTTCTCTTTTTTAAAAAAAAAAAAAAGAAAATGGCACTTAAAAATGGTAAGTCTTAGCTCAGTAAACTGTCAGTAAACTTTTAATCTTCTACTACCAGATCATAGTAGAAAAAGGAAAAAAGAATTAAATACAATGTGCATTCAAATAACACAGATGAAACACAGTCTTTGACCTCCTTTGAAGTATCAACCAAAGCTAAAGCAGTTGTGAGTCTCTATGGCCAACCCAACCTTACCGCCAATGGGATCCTCGCTCCCTTTTGTACAGTAAACGTAATCTTCTGTCATTTTTCTAGCACAGTACTCTCTCTGGAATGGTTTTATTGCTGCAATACTATATACTGGGTTTGACTCCCTATATTATGAATAATTGCACAACAGCTCGTATTTACAGAATTACAACTGGACTTTGGAACACATTTGCCCTAATGTGGATAACTGTAAAATTAGTCTGGGAATATCTTTCTAGAGCTCTCTGATAAAGACATCTGTGTATTTACGTGTACCTTATTTAATTTACCACTTGATTTTGCCTTGTATCTATTGAGTTTCGGGTACCCGACACTGACCTATCTGGGAGAATGGGAGACCTTGTTTTATTCCATATCTGGATGGAAGATCACCCAGAAATCCTGGACAGCATAAGGAAAAACTGGGCATTTAGCAAATTCTAGACCACAGAAATGTGAGAGACAAAAGATTCCATTTAGTCCTATTTTCATGGCTGAGCTAGGAACAGAAAAAGAGGAAAGATGATTAATATATTCTTTACTTGACCTTCTAGACTGTCACATCCCTGTTCTGCAATTAGGGATACTTCAAAGAAGGTTATTAATATCAATAAATGCACAGAAATCAGATAGACTAGAAAAATTTGCAAGTTCTGATATCATGCTGTCAAGGCGGCCCTTCCCACTCTTACCCTAAGGATCCTGTTGAAGTCCTCCTTGTCCACTCTCAAGAAGTGGCAGTTGTCTTCACGCAGAACAATGGATGCTGCTCTGGGAGCATCATTCACAAGTGCTAACTTGCCAAAATCATCTCCTTCGTGTAGAGTACATACCACACCCTGTACACAGCAAAACATTTACATGCACAAACCCATCATTACTCTGGATTCTATTGAAAGTCCTTGTACAAACACCGGACTTCACAATCAAATACCAAAACAAATCTATTTGGCAGGAAATCAACAGCCAAAATAATGACTAGGAAACAATACTTGATAGCTGGTTATTACTATTACTAAAGAAAGGCAAGAATAGAAAAGAATTGGCTTGTTCTCTGAAATTACATTCAGCTTGAAGGACTCTTCTAGCCCTGCTGAAGACAAAAAGTTGTTGAATTGTTTGTTTTTTATTTATAGAGGCCCTAAAAAATAAGATCAAGTTTGCAGAAATGACATAACATCACATCCTCAGCTGGTGTAAATCAGCAGTGCTCCATTTACTCCAATTTATAGTAACAAACGATCTGGCCCACCCAGGGATGTAAAAAATGTAGCTAAATATGGGTTACTTAGGAACAGACTTAGCACCAGGGCCTCTATGCTAGATTTTGGTGAAATGCTTTGTGTTCAGAACGGAGGATTCTCAGTCACTGAATGAGAAATCAATAGGGAAGCAGGGATTTTTAAAGACTCAGGGGATTGCTGTGTACCAAAGTCCTATTTTTTGCCTTGAAAAATTTCTCTCATAAACAGGAAATTTAATAGAGATGCTTTTCAGTCTATAGCTTAACTAAAATGAAGAGCTGGCATAAATCTGGGAGAGGTCTAACCAACCTGAAAACCACTAGTTACGAAGCAGTATTTGTGTCAGACATGCATGACATGCGTGAGAAAAGTTAGTCATACAAATACAAGAGAACATAGTGGTAAAGGGACAGGCCAAAACCCCCCATAAGACAAAAGTCTAGCAATTCACCAAATTCCAGCAAATGACTTTGTCCTAAAGTTACTGATGTAACTCTGCTGAACTACATTCAGAAAGTGTGTAATATATCCCAAAATTATACAGCAATCAACTAGAAGTATAATCAGTGAAACCACTGGATCATTTCTTAATAAAATTACATTCAATTTATTTCCTCATACAAAGCAATTTTACTCTAATTTAAACTGAATTCCTACAAAGTTTACTCTTATAATTTCAATAATAAGAATCATATAAAAAGGCTTCTGAAAAAAATACCTTGCCATAAATGACTACGTTTACTGATCCCTTTAGGATAATGTACCATGAAGTACCTTCTTCTCCCTGATTAAATACTACAAGAGAGAGAAAAGATTTTATGGTAAGAATATAGTTATTCAAAATATAAATGGGCCAGATTCTGCACTCAATAAAATTCAAGGTAACTCTACTGCAGTCATAGTAATGTCTACCTTGAAAAAGGGCATACTATGATTTTAAAAGCAATTGCCTTCAAATTTTAGAAACCCCCCACACACACCCATATAGCAGTTATTTCATTACACTGATGTGAAAGTTGCTTTTGTTTTCCATGACAATTGCAACAACTACTTTATCAATACATTATCAATTACTAATCAGCACACAGATATGGATTCCACCAGGAGAACCATGTTCTAACCCAGTTCTCTAGTGGCTGTGAATTTGACATTCATTTGATAAAACTTTTCAGTATAAACAGGTCCAAGTAATCTGACATTTTAAATCCTTTATTTTGTGCAGCAAGTTTTTAATACAAGGATAATATTAAAATACATTTTAAATAGAGATTGGCCCAACCAAAAAGTCTAGATAAAACCACACCCAAATTGTAGGTGATACATATATCCAACCAAGGATATAGAATTATTTTTGGTACTGTCCTTGCAATCAGCAACAGACTAAACCAACACCTACTACCCCAGGTTTTAAACACCGAGTGCATCTAAGTTTTGCTCTTGTCATTTAAACATTAAGAATGTACATGTTCATACCCAAATGAGAAAGAAGATCTGACAGGACTCCATTTACTTACAGACTGTTCCTGCTTTGGGATGTGACTCAAAAATGAGGACACCTGCTAATTCTCGCTTTACCTTAAAATAAAGATAGAGAAATTACAGGTTTTATAAGCATCTTATTCTTCCTGGTGAGAGGAAGTCACATAATATACTGCAGTCGCTGCTTTCCTTCCCTCTGCATTGTTCAGCTCTCATTCAGAGTCACACAGCCAGACAATGGTCTGCTTCACTTGATGTCCTATTTCCTACTGATTGGCTTTACAGAACATAAGCCTCTACATTTCCTGGCTCCAAATGGCTCAGAGAAGGGCATCTTTAACATACAGGTCTCCACATCCTTCTTCATACACACACATGTGAAATCATCATTAACAATGACATTAACGTGAGGGAAGTTTTCAAATGGTAATAGCTAATCTGTTACAGAAGATAGCTAGCAATTGTCAATTACTCTGTGGGGGTCTGTGGTAGTCCTTCCCTGAGAAATCAGTACCCTTCCCCTTACTGATGTAAGCCTGGCCACACCCTGCCGTGTTGAGCTGTAAGGCACAGCCATGTGGACCTGCTGAGGCCCCTCTCTGCCTGACAGCTTCCCAGGCAAAATGTCCAGCTCGCTACCTCTTCTGGGAACTGGAGAATGTGACACAGCCCTCAGTGTCAGCCTGCTCCTCTTTGGGTTTGTACTGCTCTGGTGTGATGAGCTCTTACAACTGACTGGGCAGTTGCCTCTAGTGAGACACTGTTTACAGCTGCTTTTTCTCACTGTAAATGCTGTTAGCATTACTTTCACAAAATAGTAGCAGCACTGGGAACCTCATATTATCCTAATTTTTCCTGGGTACTTTATGCCTCTCTTCATACAACCGCAAGTCTCCAAAGACTTGGACGCCAATTTTCAAGCAGTGGGATTCTTGTTTTCAGAAAATGTCAGCTGGTAGCAATCCTTGTTTCAGAGGTACTACCATGTAACTTAATAGATAAAAGCTGGCTCCAACATATATCTAGTAGTAGTATTTTCACATCATTTCCCCAACTGTTTCAACTGAAAAAAAAATTTAAGCCATGAAGAAAAACTTGGGGAGGAACTCTCAAATTCTGCACACAATCCAGATGAGAGGCTGGTGGCTGCACCTCCTAAGATGGGTGCACAAATTCAGGCTCTAATGCCCTAAAGGCACCCACCAAACCTTTGCTCAGACACCAAGCATAAACATATCACACCAGCCACCTCTCCCAGAACCCTTTCCTGACAGCCAGTGCAAAGTACTCCCTGTTTGCAGTCTAGAGAAGAAGAGGGATAAATAGAGGTGTTTGGACAGGTTTTTTCAGTATACTGACCAGTGAACACACTCACAGGCCTGTGATTTCTATAACAATTAGGTGACCAAACTGTTTTATAAGCTCTGCCTGAAGGCAATGATGCTTCCACAAGGACAGAAAATACAACCCCATCAGCACTGTTCTGTACATTGTAGAGAGCATTCCTATCCATGTACGTCCTCAGATGTCTTCTCAGTTGTTGCAGTCATTTGCCTCTGCAGTGAATGAATTCTCTTGATGAAGCCAAGAATTTGATTTGTTTTTAACACTGTATTATATAATTGATTTTTATTCATACATTAACTTCACAGGCTTCTCTAGCAGGGATTAGTTCACCACCATGCGACTTGAGTTTTATCCATTTTACTTCCTGCTGCTCATGACATATCTAGAAAACTTATTACTTCAGGAATTACGCCTTGCTTAAAATGAATAAACATTCCATCTCCTTTCAAGTCGATTGGCCATTAATATTCTGATTCACAGGAGAAATGCTGTCTGTTGCTCCTTTGAATATCTCCTCTAAGCTAGTCATGGTTTCTGTCCTCTGCTTCAGTTCATGGTGCACATAATAGGCTTGCATTTCCAAATTCTCACTAAAAACATGCAATCAACTGTACTTCTTCAAAATGCCAAGTATTTCTTGCTGTTTGTATCATTTGCCATACTTGTTCTCTATGCTACTTGCTGTGGCTTCTGACCTCAAGTCTGAATTTCTTCTGAGATGGAAATATTTTGTGTTTCAGATTTTTTTGGTCTGGGCTATGTCTGTAGTAGCAAGAGTGTTCTCCGCTCCCTCTCAGTATCTGTCTATCTTTGGTAGCTTCCTTTGTTTGATTTGAAAAGGGTCATTTCTGGATCTTACAGAAGCCTTTCTTTAAATACTTTTTTCCTACATCCCAGAGATGCTTAAGGATTTTGGCTGGCTGTTCCCTCTTAGTTCAGTTACCAACTCTGGATGCATATTCTGTCTGAAAAACATTGCTCAGGTGCCACATGTTTGCACTGAGTACTATCTTTCTGTAATGCAGCTTCATAATTAGCTGCACCTGTTCAAGTTAGCTGAGAATTACTGAAAATATTAAGAGCTTCCAAAGAACCTATTGTCAAACATGTCTACTTCCTGACTGGTTTGCTTTTTCTGAAAGCGCCCACATCTCGCTGCTACCAAATGAAGTGCTATTTAGCTTGTTTCAGTCTCCTATACAGTGTGTCAATGATGTTGACACTTTAAACAGTTGCATTTCTCCAGGATTTTTCTCCATTTCATTTCTTCTTGGTTCTCTGCACTGCTTTTGCCCACTGAGAAAGAAGGTGTCTGATGAGGTTTCCTTCACTCAGTGACCAAACTCCAACCAGCCAGCACTGCACAGTACACCCCTTTTGCACTGTGTAATTCCTCCTCCTAACTGGTTCAAACCAAGACTTCTTATAGATCAGAAATCAGACATCTATTCTGCAAAATTCAGTCACACCACATTCCCAGGTGTCAGGTCAGATTACATAGATCTTAATTTAAACTCAGATATGGACCCATATGGAGGCACCTATGCCAAGTGAGTGAGGTGGGGGCTGTGCTGAAACACATGAAGAGAATTATATCTGATATCCAAAAGACAACCTACATTTGCATAGTGTTTGGATGGTCCTCACAATTGGGAATAACTTCTTTGAATGTAAAGTAAAAATTGAAAGGGTTATAGGTAGTCCAATTCTAATAAGGCACCAGAATTCAAAAGTCAACCTCTCTTTTGGTGATCAGTTATATTTTCAAAAATACTTACTGTGGTAGAAAGATGAGATAAGGCCTTAATGTGAAGAAGTTCTTCATATATAAATTCTAAGTCATCTACAGTTCTCTGGCCAGGCCTATAGATAGAAGATAAAAAGGACAGCAAAATGCAATAAATGCCCCAAATAAATGCTTCAGAGAAGTACAAAACAACATAAAATGCTGTTGTACTGTTTGCTGAAGGGTACATCCTCACTAAACAGGGACTGAATGATGTTTCTGCCTAGAGGACTGAAACACACAAAGGATGGAAGCGCTATGAAACCACTGAAATGATACCAAGCAGCAGCCATGGCAACCACCTTGGAGAGATCCTGATTAGTCAGCTTTCCTGATGAAATCAAGTGTTCTAGATGTAAAATGGTCAGATAAATCAGAAATGGTATATGAAGACCTGTTCCTTTCAAAAGGATTCCCAAGCATGGGATTTGCATTGTTTCTCACATGTGGTACTAATTAGTTGTTGGAAACAGACAGAAGTAGAGGTTCGTAAAGGAGTGCGTGAATTTCTGCTGAACAAATGGGAAGAAGCAGCAGTGCATCTTGGAGGACAGCAAATGACCGCTACAGAGTTAATGCTGAATGCTGTTGTTTAGCCACAAAGATAAATAACAGTCACTCAGTAGTTCCACCTTCTCCCACTGAAAAATACAAGAAGCTGCCATTAATAAAAAGTATGCCTTGATGAAGGAGTAATGCTTGTATGGCACAAGGAATGAGGCTGCCACTGTGAGTGAAATAATTGCATTTCTGCAGTCTACACACTGGGAAATCTTCTAATCGCTGAAAAAGTACAAATTTATTCTAAGGCTGCAGTGTGTCCAACATACGTTGGAGGATGTAATAAACAGTACCTATCAGAAAGAGTTGTAGGAGCTTGTGAGTAACTCCTAAACTTTTTACCACTCAGAAGATTCTCTTCAGTTAAAGTGTCTAATACAACATTATTTTCTAAAAGGACAAATTCTCCTGTGATATAATTTCAGACAGTGCATTAGATTTACATATACACACACACAGAAAAAAATCTTTCAAAGCATTATCCAAGTTACTTTTATAGGACTAAGTCCTTTCAAACAGTATGTTTTAGATTTGCGAAAAGCAGAATATAAGTAATTGAATCAATGGGCCAAGAACAGAAGAAAAGAGCAAGCCGGTCATAAGAAGGGAGAGAGGATAAATTTAAGAAGTGAGGAACTGGGATACAGGAAGTCCAGTCCAGGGGCAGGATCTCCAAAGGAGAAGGTTTACATGCTCACATTAAGAACAGGCTAGTGCACAGTCCCAAACCCCATTGTCTGCAGTGTGTGGTGTCAAAAGAATTAACAGTACAGTTGAATCTTTGGACAGCCCTCAAAGAAATGTCACAATGAACCTTTCTGATAGATGTATTCCTTCTAAAATGTCAATATTACAGGACATTCTAGCATCTAGGGGGTAAGGAAAGTCATATAAAGAAATATAGTGCTCTACAGGTTTTCTGCCTAACCACCTCTTGGTTCAACAGTCTGTCTAAATCATGTGTGAGGTAGAGCGAGTACCCAGCAATAGTATCATTCTGGAGTTATACTGCATCTTCTTCCCAAAAAGTTTGATGGAGACTTCTTTTGGATGAAAGAAGTGCTGAAGAAGTCATAGAAAACATAAGGATGACTGCCATCTTCTCTGCTAAGCAAACTATATTTTTCATGTTCTTCACTTACCAATGACATGCATTTATTATTATCCAGATTAAAGACCAATTTAGACAAAAAAAAAAAAAAAACGTTTTGGATGAAATTATTTGTTTCTCATACAGAATTGAACAAACTGTTAAGGGAGAAACAGAAATGGGTTTGGTACTGCTATGCCCTCTAGTGACTGAAAATACTCTTTATATTTCTAAATCTGTCCTGAAATTGTAAAGCTGCCACTCCTAGTTATTTATGTGGGGCAGTAGCAACTTAATTAAGTACAGAATAAAGCTAAGCTAGTACTAGCTGCCTTTCACTGGAGATTTAAGAAACACAAGGTAAGGTTTTTAACAAATAATATTTCCCATAGGAAGTAACAACTTTAATGTTATTACATGCTTGCAAAACCAGCATGCCTTGGAAAATGGAAAACACAGTGTAACAAATTAACACATTTCTACAATAAATTAGTATATAAAAGGATCAGATCATGTCTTACTACATCAGACCTTTATCAAGACAAAAGCGTACATTCTTCTTTCAGTATGTCCGTTTGCCTCCTGTGTTAGCACATTGGGAGGACTGACAATCTATAGCGGATGTACCCAATCTTTACTTCTGCTTCTACAGATGTCATGTGGAGAGATATTAGGCATCACTGCTTCTGTAAAACCTGTGTGGTGACCTACTGATGTTGATTTGTAGGATCCTGCTGTGTAAAGACCTAGTTTCTGCGGGGGACACATTCTAACAGCAATAGCTGGTTATAGACAGGATAATAAATGGAATAGGTAGAGAACAAGCCTACACATTAATGGACAGGAGAACTCAGGTGATATTAAGTGATCAATAAAAACTGTTCAGTGTTTGGAGAATTTATCAAGGTCAGAGGCATTGAGATTCTCTGTGACTAGGATGTTGACGATAACATAGTACTTTGCCATTGATAAACTATGTACATACAAGCAATATTATTGATTATTTTATTACACAGCTAACCATAAAATTCCCAGATAATAATATCAAGGGAAAAGATCAGAGTCCCCATAACACTGTGATTATACATCAAATATGCATATATTTTCAGAGTAGAAATTTTGTCTTCAGGTACCATAAAGGGTATATAGGAGACATGAATAATTTTACCCACTACCTGTGTCTGGGTGTGAAAATGAATGCACGTTCACTTACTCTAGCACAGAAGCTAATTATATAACCTTTGTATTTGAATCAGTGCTCCTTGATTAACTTCATAAATACCCTTTACCACACATAATACTGATCAGCATCGGTGAACTGATATGTGGAAAGATAATCTGTATTTCCTGTCCCAGGAATCACACTTGGTTTATTAAATGTCATTGGCAGGAAACTCCACTGAGGACTTAATACAGTCTTTATGGAGAAATCCAGTATGGTTCTTACTAGTAACAGCTGGGTGGAATATCTAAATAAAAATTTTAAGAACAATAGAATAATTATATCTGGCTTAATTTTTACAAGTCCTTCAAGAAGCTATAGATCCTTAGCAATAATTAAATTGTTACTTTATCATATATATATACCTATATATTTTGTGCTGTTTACCATGTTTAGATTTGTATTCACTTCTTCTCCCTGTCAAGCTTAGGTCTGCAAGTGACACTAAAATTTGATTACTGATCACATGTGGAATCAAATGCTCTTTGTACTGAGAAAAAAAAATGCTGAGTGAAGTCACCAAGAATATATAACACAGATTTATTGTTTCAGTCATACTGCTAACTTACTGTAGCCTAAAGTATTAAAAAAAATATAATCCATAACATCATCTGAGCTAAATAATGTTGTCTGATAAATATCATTCTCCCTTTAAAGACTCCTGTTATTATTGTACTTAGCTGTGTATTATAGCACCCTATTTAATTAGGGTTTACCATCAAATTAGTTATATCTGAACACCATTAAAATCAAGCAAAAATAACTAGAAAACTGTTTCACGATGTATTTTCATACTGAAGTATTTAAATGCTTCTAAGGAAGAGCTATGTTAATGCTACAATATTTTTTCCAGGGACTTGTTCAAGGTCTGCACCTGGGCTCCAGGCATTGTAAGGAGCAGAGTTGTGTTTGCTACTTCACAAAAAGCTATTTTCACATTCAGTGTGTGTGTTTCCAAAGAAAAAAACCCACCCAATAGCAACAAGAGCCTGCCAAAAATTTCCCTGAGCTCTATTCTGTTTTTTAAACTATAGAACATTCTTTCACGGTTTGACAGTTAAAATGCTGCAGTTAATGTAATAAACAGAGAATTTTTTAAGTCGGCTGTCAAAACAAATGACACTTTTTGCTAGAGATTTTCAGATTTTGAACAATAGAAAGTACCTTTCAAAGCAACAGCTTCATTATACAATCAAATTCTCAAAGTAATCTTCTCATCAAAGAATATTGTCTTATTTCTTTCAGGGTAATTATCTGAGTTCTGCAACCCCTCCGGAAATGGTTACTATCATAAAATGCAGCTGTGTTGGGTTTGGTGGGTCCTGCTCAGGTCAGCTAGAGCCAGTGTCTCTGAAGCCCTAGTAATTGCTTGAACTTCTGGCAGCTGTAACAGTGTCTAGTCAAAACTGGCAGGACTCTGAGAATTCATGGAGATTTTAACAGCCTTAATACAGCTCAGCCCAGGGTGGATTTTCAGCTAACAAAATCATTACGTATGTAAACTGAATACTAGAACAGTAGTTAATATAGTGCCTGGCAGTACAAGCTTGCTTCCATGAGCAAAGGGCAGCAAAAATAAGCACTTTCAGGGACAGAGATAGGGAAAGAAGTCAGATGGCTGTCAGTCTTGAGAAAACCTCTTTCCCCTTACTATATTGCATGAAAAATCTCCGATGAATATTCTTTCAGATGATGCTGTGCAAGTGATGACACAGAGGGGAGGGCAGTACTTTCCACAGCATCATTCTAGCCTTTCAGCATTCTGCAAGTAGTATGGATGATAATCAACATTCATCCCGCCAGGATAAACTCACACTGGCTGCTGTGAAAGTCATGATGGAAAGCAAATGTAGCAGGCAGCCCAAAACCATCATAACCTAAGGGGGCAGTTCTCCAAGAGCCAACCTGTTCAGTCAGTCAGCCTGAGGCAAAGGAGAGAGTGTGAAGGTCACCGCACACATAGCACTGCTTATGGTTTCCTCATGACTGGTGTCTGCTCATGGGTGCAAGAAGCCCTCTTTTGCTCCTGAGTGGAGAATGCACAGGACATCTTTGTGAAGAGAAAACACCTCACCTTCCTAACACCATAAAGATTTATAGAAGCACCACGCTCCCAGTCTGGTTTGTCTATGTATATTGTGTGACAGGGAGTAAGTGCTCCTTTGGCTGTGTTTGTCTAGACCTCTAATAAGCAGAGGAAGGAGAATGTATACATTTAAAACTATTGCTTCATGGCAGTGTTACCTATTTTTATAAGCACAAGTATCTGATGGCACTTTTTGAAATTCAATGTTTTTAATAAGTTTTGGAAATGTGCTTACAATCTAAACAGATAATACAGATACAAGAATGGAGAGAGTAAAGGATAGAGACAGAAAAAGAACAGGAGCAAACGCTTGTGTTACGCGGATTCGAAACCTTTTTAGTATAAACAATGTTCTCACACTGTAGGCAGGGCCCAATCCTATCTCATAGCAAAGACAAACTTTGCCAATGGTCTCAAAGGAGCAGAATCCAACTTTGTGTACTTTCTTGAACTGACCCTTACAAGTAAATCTTCAGTGAAGATGACCTTAAGTAATTCATTATTCTCAGTGCACTTATAATTATCAGTAAAATTTGTCTTCAGTGGCCCCTAAGCATTACCTTCATAACGCAGAGGTTGCCTTCAATGGAGGGTCAAACAAAGTTTATACCAATTGCTCTGAAGTCACTATAAAGCTGCCTGTAAAAAAGCCCTTTTTACTTTGGCAGTTTTCAGTGTGACCAGATACTGCTGAAAGGATGGTTAGCCAACCGATGAGTGAGAGGACATGATCTGACAGCTATGAAAAGGTTAGGCCAGAGGATGTCTGCCTAGGTACAGAAAGCATTATTTTTTTTTAATGCATTGATTTTATAATGTTAAGAATGGATAAATAAACTCACAGAGTCACATTTCACACCTTGCTAGAAAACTACAACAGGCCAACTCCAGCCAATCTTAATTCAATAAAGTTCTACCAAGGATGAATCTAATTAATGGCTGCCAATGACAACTGTAATTGAAAGGCACCTGCTGTGCTGCCATCCTACCACTCTACTCACTCACAGTAACTGAAAGCAGCATAGTTAATTGAACGGCACACGTACACAGAATGTGTTAACAGGGCAGGACTCTTCTATTACCTGCAACTTACTTTTGGGGACACTCAGAAATGAAATAAAAACTCATAATGCAGAATTTTCTGCAAGGTGAGTACAATGGCATTCATGGTCTTTGATGGTTGTTCTCAACATAGAGTTCAACTTACAAGCATTAATAAGGACTGGAGACTTAATATGGACTTAAAAACTTTAGAGGTTCAGCAAACTGACACTGAGGTGAAATAACTGTCCAAAGGACGTCCTATAATAAATGTAGATTTCTCTTGTTTCCATGTCACAAGGAAGGCCCGTGTATAATATTAACTCATTAATCTGCTTACGGTTTTCTGAGAATCATCCTCATATGAGCATCTGGCCCAATCTGAGACAGAAGCAGCATAGTGTCCTGTAGCTCCTCATCACACTCCTTTTTATCTTCCTCAGTTGGCAAGGGGGCATCTTCACGCTCATCATCCAAAAATCGATAAAATAAGTATTTGTCTTGAAAGTGGTGCTCCTGATCCACTGAAAACAACATAACATATCAAACACTAAGCTCTCCTCATTAAAGTTAAAGTTAACCTTGTAGAAATCTGTGTAGCATTGTATACACCACAGATATGTTAGTTAAGAAGGGAAATAAAGCTACAGAGAAACTGCAGGAGTATGAAACACCTTTATTTCTCACATATGTCCAAATTATGTAGCTTGAAGGGTACACTGCTAAATTGTGTAGTACAAATATTTTCCAAAAGGTTTCTATATATGTTTGTTGTAGGTGTGTATACATACATGTGTGTGTGCACATGTATATGGGTTTTTTTCTTATTAGATCTGGTTTCATTCTTAGTGTTTCAAACCATTTCATTTAAGCAATCAATTTACACTGGGGAAATGGTTATATCATGAATTTCTAAGAAGTGTTCTCTAGCATGAACACCTTGTCCTCCATGTTTCAGAGATAAAAGGTTACAAGAGCATACAAACTACTTCTGTTGTACCAGAAACGTACATCATCAAGATATAATCCCAGGGGCAAGTTCATTGACCTGTGTCCTGGTGGAAGAACTTAATGGAAAGACTATCAAGAGAAGACTTCTAAAGAGAGGCTATGATATATGGTGAAGGACAAACCCTTGGTCTTCCAAGCAATTCAGAGTGAGTGTTGAGTTGGATACTGGGATGCAGCTTGCAACAGCTTGCTCCTGGGAGTTCAAGGGAATATTTGACAGGAACTAAAGACAGAGACCTTAGGATAAGGAAGCAATGGAAACAATCTATCTTCTCAGTGTGAAAATTTCTCCCTGGGATATGGGAAGCACAACAGAAGCATACTGTAATAGAGCTGCTCTTCTGAATGTAATAAAACTGTACATGCAAAGCTTCAAATATGAATATTGCTTTAGAAAGCTAGCCTTTAGAGGGCTATAATAGCCTGTTACCAAGTAAATCCTGCCAAATGGAAATCAAAAGTCAATATAAAATAGTCAGAAAACTATCATAAAATCCTAGATCTCTGCACTGGAATATTTGGAGTGCTGAATTTGGGAACCATTCCAAAACCACTGAAAATCGTCCCAAAATTATGGACCTGAGCAAACACAAATGCCCACAGTTCACTCAAACCATGACACTTTCAAATGCTGCAAATCCTTGATGAAGATCAGTTTTGTGTATGGTAATGTATCTCTCGGTTTGGGCCTGAATGCTATTCAGCTCTTGCAATATAAGCACAAGCCAGTGTACTCCTAAGTTAATTAGTTATCATTATAAATTGTTCATTTACTTTTCAATATTCTCATGTTAAAAAGGTATATTGGTAGGAAGATTCATGTAATACCATCTGTGTGTTGCACTTGCACTTATGAATGAACTGGCTGCTCTGTAGCATTTATTTTAGGTTCATGATCCTTTTATTTTCCATGAAAGAGATCTACAGAAGGACTGTGATGTTACACATTGCCCATGTTTTAGTCTAGGTGCTGATTTTCTTTATCTTACCATGGTTAAGAACACCTTCTTCCAGCAATACTTGCCACATGCCAACAGCCTGAGTTCGTGAATGGACACAAGGACTTTGCTGCATCATCCAGTCAACTAGTTCTGTCCCCACACAGCATTGCCTGAAGGACAAATAAATAAAGAGAAATGAAAAGGGAGCTAGCCAAGAGAGAGATCACACACAGTGTCTGCCAAGAACAGTAATATCTTAAACTCTGTATAACCTTACTCAAATCTCCCTACAGAAAACACAATGTCACCATCTATGTGTATATGCCTGAAAGATCAGTGAACGTGTTCAGTTTTGAGAGGATCACCTCAGCAGAACAAGAAGTGTTTTGGGAAATGAAAAGTTCAGAGGACTAGAGTGAGCCTGTGCCACCCAGTATAAAACCTGTTGTACCAGTGCAGCAACCTTCAGTCCAGATTCCAAAGCAAACCTTCTCTGTATACTGTGGGATAGCAAAACCCTCATGCTTTTCAGAATCCTGCATGAAAACAATCATCTAACATTGTAAAAGCTTTGCCAATGAGAACAGCCTCCACAGGAAAAGTGAGTGTTATGAGAGTGTTCCTCCATTTGCAACCAAACGCCAGCCACACTCTATCTGGGGACATCGGTTTGTGCATCTACAGTGTTTCTGAGGCTCTCTCATGCTAGGTGCTGGTCACCTCGCAGCTCCTGACTGACCCAGAGGCAGACAACAACAGGTCCAAAGAAAGGGGAAAAAACCAAAAAGCCACATGGCCACTAAGTAAAATTCTTTGTCATAACACTCCCTAGCTCAGCAGAACAGAAGCAAAGAAGCAATGTGATCAAAAACTTACAAATCTGTAACTGATCATAGGCAGAACAGAGGGGAAGCTGGCTAGTCCTTCTATATAGGCTCTCATGGCTCCATATTTCATGCATCACTTTCAGAGACCAAGGAAATAAATAATACTGAAATTGCTGAAATTTAGATTAAATAATGCTCTTCCAATTAAAATCCCATTTTGATGACAAAAATTTCCCTCACCTGGATCCAATCTAAATTTTGGGATTCCATATTTAAAAAACCTGAGGATACCACAGTAAGAGTTTTTACTAGTTATGTATGAGATAAAATGGTGCACTGGTCTTCATTTATCATATATACTCTTTTTTTTCTTCTAGAACAATAAGCAGTCATATCATGATATATTCTCAGATCAAGTCACAAGCTCAGAATAGCTTGCATCATATTAAATACATTTTGGATTGAAATATGGAAAATCAATGCACTTACCTCAAAAGCAGATAAGCAACATATTGATTTACTATTTAGAAAAAGACATACTCAGAGATTTTAAACCATTTTTTATTTAAATATGCTCTGAATAATGCATTAGGTATTTGATTCAAACCTTAGACACTAAAATGAATTGATTATTTCTTAAGTCAACAGTAGACAGATCCTGACTCCTTGAAGTCAGATTTCTATTCTACAAGTGCCATTGTTATCCCACTTCAGCAAGACAGTGCTGCCACCAGCAGGAAGATAAGAAGGCCTGGCAATACACTGAAAAAACCACAACTTTTAAATAGAGCAGAAAATCTATATAAGGAATGTTTCTCACCTGATGAATTTTCAGAACTCCACACTGAGCAACACCGCTGTAGCAATCAGTACAGTAACATAATATATTAATGAACTTTCCTATTATCTCTTACTGATATATAAAGATAATAGAATCTACATTTTAACTTGATATTGCACAGAATATTTCAGCTAACTATGCTATTAACTTTGGAAGAGTTTTTGTATGTGAATGCTCTGTTCACAATCATGGACTCAATTTCCAGTCAAATTACTTCAGAAAAGATTTACCAGGCCCATTAAAGACTGCATAACATCCAGACTCAAATGGCATCACAGAATAATTTCAGACCTTTTGAGACCTGCAAGTATGGTAAAGCATAAATCACAAATCAGAGGATGGCAGGCATAAAAATTCAGAGACCTCTATACAATCAGCTCACACACCTGTAAGTCTTCAGATGGTATTTACGATCTCTTATCATGTGAGGGGCTCGGGACAGAATTGAATTCCGCAAAATCTTTCCAGCTCTGAGGATCTTTTCTGAAGGAACCTTGGTGATCATGGAGAAAAAAAAGGGACCAAGACACACAGATTTTAAACTTTCTGCAATCTCTGTACTGCCTTCTGTAAAATAAAACACAAGTTCTCTTTTCCCTAAATTAAAAGTCCTTGCACAGATGCTTACTTTTGCAGAGCAAAGTAGTGTATATTCAAGATTTTAAGCCCCACATGCTTATCACATCTAACAGAAAACATCACTTCAGCTGACACCCATCACACTGTTGGAAATAGGAGCCATTTCCACCTTGTCTAGCGGCCTGGCTCTACAGCACACCTATGTCCTATTACCTGTGTAATGGTTTTAGTAGGACGATGTGAGATGTGAGGTTCAGTAAGAGGTGTCTGAAAAATAAAATGAAATTAAACACATTTTTAAAGGCTGAGCTGTAAAATAAAGTAAGGGCTAAAATAAAAAACTGAACAAAGAAGCTGTAAAAACAAAGAATGATGTGTAAGTCCAAGCTCTGCCCAGGGGATGTGAGCAGAAAAAGCTCCCTGAAGACATTCGAAAGACACGTTTGGCTTTTAATGCTCAGCAAACTAGAACAGTGACATGACATGTGGAGATGAATAACAAATGCATGTTAAACTTTCTAAAGTATTAATGAAGTGTGCAATGGCCAAACATCACACCAGATCTGAGGTCATAGCTAGCTCTTCCACTTGCTGCTCTCTACCCACAGTGGGCACAACAGCATTCCTCCACACACGGCTGCCTCCACCATTCAGTCCCCCACCACGGAAACTTTATCCTCTTTCAGCACCTTTTTCTGTTCAGCTCTCTTCTCCCTTACCACATAGCACAAGAAACAGGAATGAAAAAAAAAGCTCTGCTCCCACTATCTGTCTTTTCTAAACTATCATCGGGCCTAGCTGGAAACCCTTTTATAGCTGCTCTCTGAAATGCAAGAGCACGCAGGCCACTTGCAGAGACCTGGGTAAGGACTTTCACAAAGGGACTGATGAAGGAAAAAGAAAAGAGTAAAGCAGGTGACTTGGTTCTGCAAAGGGAAGAGTGAAAGGGAAGACTATCAGGGCTCTACAAGAGAGAAGCAGGGAAGGGGATGAGAGAAGTGGGAAAACAGGCACGTAACGAACTGGTGAAAGGAGAGGAGAGAGAGGAAGCACATGGCACAACAGAAAGAGGGAAGCAGAAGGTTAAAGGACAGTAGAAATGGAGACAAAGGAGAACAAAACTGAACTTCAGCAGCCACCTCAGAATGATGGGAAGATGTTTTGCTTGGTTGGGACTAGTAGTTAACAGCATGGACCAAATTTACTTCTAGTGTGAAATGTCAGGAGACACAACACAAGGGCTGAATCTGGCTGGCGTTCTGGGCTTGCCAACAGGGCAGCTCGTACCAAAACCAGAGGTCTCCCCCAAGGGCAAGACCCTGCACCTTAGCCCACAGCAGCCACGGCTCCCTTACACACGTACAGCAAAGGCAGGACAGCCAGGTCGGAAGTACAGTGAAACACGTGCCATGTACTGCTGGGTTTCTGGGTACTGGTTTTCTTAAACTGGGCATCTGTTCATTAGCACCCACAGGATTTTAATGATGTGACAAAGTCCTTGTAGTAATCAAATAGTGCTAGGAGCTACAAATGCACCAGGAGACTATAGGTCAGCTGGGAAGGGGAAAATGAGGGAAGCACATGATAGAAATCAATAAAGGCAAGATAATCTTAACGGGGGGGCCTGTACATGGAAAACAATGCAAATGGTTTTTCTTTTCTACTCATACCTTACAAGAAGTCCCTAAGAAGGCAAATCAATACAATTAAAATTTGATTCCTGATTTTTCTCAATAATAAGTCAATATTATTTCAAAGACTCATTTAAGTTATAAACATTTCTGTCCCACCAGAAGGGCAGTAGAACATCCCTCAATACTTGGCTTCTAGAACTGTGTGGAGCATGCTTTAGACAGTTTACATTTGGAGTTAAAGCATGCCAAGAATAGTAAGAATCTTCTGAAAGATGCCTCATGCAGAAAAAAACCCACTGAATAACAGTTTCAAACAGGTATATAAATAAACAATGAATTCAGAGATATCACTCAGTATTAACAGTTTTTGCTTCCATTTTCTTTCAACAGGATTTCAAGTCCTCATCCATTTCAGTGAGACTGAAGGTAAATATATGCTTAAATGGTTGGCTAAATTGGCATTGAAGTCAGTATGGAAATTATTTTTAAATTCTACGTTCTTAATAGTTTTTTGTTTTTGTTTTTGTTTTTTTTTTTTTAAATCAATAAAGCACAATATACTCAACCTAGCTTCCAGATTTTAATTCTAGTTAGGAACATACTTCAAAGAAGAGATAAAATGTGTAAGACAAAAAATATAAGAGACTTTTACAGCAGTAGACTAGTGAAAATGAACGCACATTTTTGTTCTTTAGAGTTTCCATTAAACTCCAAGAAACATGCATAAAACTAATAGGTGAAAAAAACTGAATAGGGATGAAGATTTGTCACTAGATCTCCCATCCTAATCAAAATAGAATAAAAGAGAGCATGTAGAAGAAATCTGATCCAACCCAGAAGTACAGGAAAAAAAAAAAAAACAAGGTGAAAGCTAAGTCAAGAATCTGCAGAAAGCAGAAGGAAAGCTTGTTCACCTACATCTGATCCTGACCAATATAGAAGGATGAGCTGCGAAGACAAAAGGTAACTTGAATGAAGATGATCATGAAGATGATCATGAAATGATCCAGTGTCAGAACTTTACAGAAGGAAGTAAGAGCATCAAAGTAAAAACAATGGACTAGGAAGAAAAATTTCCATAAACATAGAATACTAACAGTTAAATTCCTGGAGCAGGTTATGGGGGAACAAGTGTAAGGTAAAAGGAGTTAAAGAGAGCTGGTAGTTATTTAAAGAAACAATACTAACCACACATAGAATATATACTTGCACAGAGCTAGAAAGTGTAGTAAAGACTTAACTTAGCTAATGAAAGAGCTCTTCACTGAAATACAAGAAGGAAATGCACAGAAAGGAGAAAGTAGGGGGTTTACAAAAAGCAAGTATAAAAAATAAATTGAATAATGAAGGACAGAATTAGAAAAGCAAAGGTATAAAATGAGAAAGAGCTACCAAGAAATGTCAAGAGGTAACAAAAAATATTCCACAAGTACATTAGTAATAAAACAAAGGAAATAAACAGTGCCTATCTACTGTTCAACAGAGGAAAATCTATTGACAGATAATTCAAGAAGGCCAGAAGCGGTTAATTTATTTTTTGTATCAGTGTTCATTAGAAAGATCAGTGGCAGAAAGATGGCTAATATCCTAAGTAGCAGAGTGACAGGAGTAAAATCTCGGCCTAAGAACCCAAAAGAATGGATGAGAAAATATTATATAAATTAGCTATTTTCAGATTAGCTGGGTTTGTAGAATTTCACGCAGGAAACTTGAAGAGCTTGAAGAAACTTAGAGCGCTGCATCCATCTCAGAACTGTCAATAGCCACCTTGGAACCATCAGCAACCACCTCTGACAACTCTTGGGGACTAAGGAGAGCAGCAGAAGACAGAAATAGGGGAAAAGGAGGAGCTGAAAAATTATAGACATGTCAACTTAACTTGTCTTCCTAGAAAAAGTCCATTTGTAAACACCTGGAGAAGAACAGGGAGATGAGTCACATGTGATGCATATTAATCAAGGACAAATCATGCCACACTGATCTAATTTTTTTCCATGACCACATAGCAACATTTGATAGACTACGAAAAAACCAGTAGATTTTCAACCCTTTACCTTAGTAAGACTTTGACACTGTCTCATAACATACTCTCTTCTGCAAAGAGCAGATTAATTTTTTACAAAATAGGTGCAAAGCCAGTTGGAAAAGTGTTTTGAAAGCAATTACCAGTGAAGCAAAGTGAAACTGGCAGCCATGCCAGAGGTCTGTTCTGAGGAACGTTCTCAAGAATATATCACATCCAGTAATATTAAATGTTAACATGGGATGAAGTAGAATGTCCACTGATTGATTCTTCGGGAGACTTCAAGATGGGAGGGACTGCATGTACATTGGAGAATACATTCACAATTTGGTATAGTTTTGACATTGGTCTGAAAAAAGATACACGATGCTGAACACAGATAGTGCTGACTACTTTTCTGAAGCAGGCAGAATCAGCTATATAAAGACAGGGTAGGGAACAAATGTTTTAGTGCAGTTCAACAGAAAAAGAACTAAGGTTTGTAACAGATATTAAACAGAAGTGAGTAAGCAATGCCATACTTGTGTGAAAGCAACAAATATAATACTGAGATGTAGTAACAGATTAGATACATAATGCAGTTCTGCTTTAGTCAGCCTAGATAAGACCTAAACTAAAGCATTGTCTCATTTGCCTACTTTACTTCAAAAGTGTCTAAACCAACTGGGCAGAATTTAGAGGACAGCAACAAGAATAATCAGAAAGTACAACGCAAATAAAGTTGTTCAGCTAAGGCAAAGGCAAGTCTTAGCAGAAGTGTGGTAAAAAAGTCTTCAGATTCAAAAGGCCTTGGAAAAGAGGTAAGAAATAACCTAGTCCATCAAGCAGAGATGAGGAAATACAGCATTTAAATTGCTGTACAAAAGATTCAGATTACGCATTGGTGAAGCTTTTCTAACTGTGGACAGTGAATACTGGCACAGATTGCCAGGGAGGTGTGGTTCCTCCATCTTCCAAGGCTTGGGAAGATATGTAAGGTATCTGTCAGGAGTGACACAGCTATATTGAATTGTGCATGTGGCTCAGGGATGGACTGGATCCTTTCCTGAAGTACCTTTCAGCCTCGCTATATGGCACTCTGAAATTTTCAAGGTCACCTTCACATGTCTAAAATTAGTTCAACCACAACGTGGTGCATAAAGAGATGATCAGTAATACAACCCCCAAAGCAGCAAGCCCAGACTCAAGAAAGCAAGGCAGACACTCCTACTAAGGAACAATGTCGTTGCCAGCCAAAAGACATGCCCAGCGAAGAGTCCCCTCAAAGCTCCAGCCTTCCAAAGCTACTGCAGTGAACTCTGACTGCACTAGCAATGAGCTGAAATGCAACAAACGGAACCAGAGGGCTTGGACTGAGTTTGCTATAGAAAGACAAGTCATGCTTCAAACGCAGAGAAATGTAACATCAATTAGTTAATAGGAGATACAGTGTTCCAGCAACAACTTCCTGTCAGAAAAAAATGAATTCTGTAAAGGATAGTATCTTAGGGTATTAGTCACAACTTGGCTGAAGTCCAAGAAATGTTTTGTAAGGCTTTACAGTCTTGGATCTCCCATTAAGGGATGCTTAGAAAGCACTCAGAAAAACAGAAGCAGCTCTCCCTGTAAAA